AAAGTCAAAATGAATTATTCCGACTAAACCATTAATAGGTACGTTTGAAACGTCAAAATAGAATAGTAGGCTGTCAGTCTGTTCGTCAGTAAAGCTAGGTGCTCTTTATGTCAAGGAATTACAGTGTGTTTGAGAGCTAGTTACCTTGATACCCTCCTCAGTCTGGTTGACCTCGAGTATGGCACAGATGACGCGTGTGGTGGCGCACATGGTCGCGTTCAGCATATGCACATACTCCGTCGCAGTGTTCATCTTCTTAGTTTGACCGTATCTGCAAAATTACAATACAAATAGATATATATTTGATTTCCGCACAAAACAACTCTTCGTGTGATTAACAAATTATTATTGTTTTTCTGGGTCTTGGTGTGATGTGCATAAGTTTTATGTTTATAAACGCAACCACACGAGAAGAATCCTAGTATGGGACAATGTTTTTTTAAATACAAAAGACAAACACAAATATTTTTTGTGATATTTCATAGCATCTGAATATACAAAACACTATTACTTCCGTAATCAGTTGGGTATTAATTGCTAAGGAAATTTTCGACTTTAACATAAGATAATAAGGTTGAAATTACGCATACTGGTGGTCCATCTACTTTTGTGTAGAATACAGTTCCAAATCTGAGAGAAATTAGATTTATATATTTTGATTTCTTCAATTTACCTGACCAACAGTCTTCTAGCCTGGTACTCTAGACAGTTGCTGCAAGACACCAGCTCACGGAAGGCTCCAGATCCAGGGAACCAGGCTTCCAAGTCCAGTTTCTTGGAGGCAGCGTGGTTCAGAGCCCCAGACACGATGTTCACGACACGATATGGTATATTCAGTAACTTGTAGAACTCCTCTGCATTCGTGATCATTTCATCCATCATCTTCCATGAGGCATCGTCGTGGGGGGAGGTTAGCACGAACTGTTCCACCTGGTGAGGAGAAGATGCATTTTTACATTTAGATGAGGCGAGATGTAGTGTGACTATGACTGACTAAAAACCATCCCATTCCTTCTCCAGGTCGGAGCCGCGGTGCAATTACTGATCTTGACACGCAAACCTAGGTCCTTATATTAATATAAGTAGCCTTAGTAAGACTAGAAATGACAATAATGGCAACAAAATTATTATGTTAATAGTTTTATCTACACAATACATATAAGTAAGTTAACTAGCTAAAATAGCCCTTACGCAAAATATTCTACTAACTACCACAACTTACTGTAGTAACAGATATAAACACAACATCAATCTTTGATAAATAATAATAAATATACCTTTTCAAATTGATGTACCCTGAAGATACCACGAGTATCACGACCGTGGGAGCCCACCTCTTGACGGAAGCAAGTTGAGAGACCTGCATATCTGAAAATATACAACGATTTGTTACACACTATTGAATATTAATTTCTAACCCTTATTTTTGGTAGTTTTTTCGCCTAAAAAACTACTTTTGTACTAATTAATTTGAGAAAAAACAAAACGCAATCAATTTAAGAATTTACGTATCATCTAAACTACAAATCAAAATTGCATTCATATTTATTACATTGGCAAGAAATTAACTGTTCGTGTTTCAGACATGGATTTACGCGAGATATTTTATTATTTACCAACATACAATGGGTTAAAAGAGATTTCTGCAAAAAATATTTTGACACATGATCTACTCACTTAATAGGCAATGAGGCCTCAGGCAACCATTCATCCCTGTGGTAAGCAGCGATGGGCTGCTCGGAGGTGGCGATGAGATACTTCTCCTCCACAGCGGTATCACCCTTATTCTCTGAACCTTTGCCCACTACTTTGTACAACTCCTCGTCAAATTGAGCTAGTTGGGCTACTTCTTGCATCACCTGCAATTAAGCATACACCTGATTTTTGTAAATGGGTTTCGCTGAGAATTTATTTAATTAATAGATTTTTAACTGTAATACAATGAGATAAGGTTAAAAGATACAAAGTAAAGTTAAAGATGTTTTCAATTTCAAATATCTGAATATTAGAAGAGGATGTTTGGAGACATAACAAGTTTTATAACTACAACTGCTTTTGTTACTATGTATAGTAACACAGTACATTAAGGGATGTGTACAAACCTCTTTCCTCATGAAGAATGGAGTATAGAGTGGAGTGTAGCCTTTATCTAATAGTATCCTAAGGGAGAGCTGGATTAAAGCCTGCTCTAGGAACACTGCAGGACCCTTCAGGTAGTATCCTCGGCCGCCAGCCACGGCTGATCCTCGGTCGCCATCCATACCTGGTGATATAAATGAGAATCCAGAAAATCTTAGTTATAGGTATGACAAAGAAAATGGCTGATCATTGGTTAATTATTTGCAGGTGCAACATGCACTAAATGCAATTCTATTGATATAAGTACATACATTTTTAGGTTCTCTGAGTTTCTCATTGTAAACAGAGTCTGGGGGAAATGTATGTTTTAATCTTGTATAATGTTTTAAGAAGAGGTAGTGGACCGAACAGGATAAGGGGAAAAACATTGATAATGGTTTTACAGACTATATTATATGCAAATAGTCATCCGAAAACTATGATCAATGATTAGATAAGCAAACAATTGAATATAACTTGAATATGAAATTCATATAGGGGCATTTCATTGTAAATATAATACATGTATTCACTTGAATGGAAACTTATGTTTACACAAGTGGAACAAAACATGAAACAACTTAATAATTATATGGATGTCAGTAATATGTTGTTGTCAGTAGGAATAAAATTTGATATTCTTCCTCTATGATTATACACAATCTTTCTTTTTTTAAGCATACAATTAGTAGGTGGAAAATGAGTAGATATGAATAATAAGGTTCAAAATAAATAGACATTTACCAGAGGAGTCCAAATGTTACATACTATCAAATTAGGATATGATTAAAGAATACACATGTGAATATGATGTTTTTAGAAATACTGTAAAAATAATATGGCATCACAAGTAATGTCGACCAAAATTAATTCTGCTAAAGTAAGATAAGCTGTGATGTAATTGTGAATAATGAGAAAAATAAATATTAATTTATTCTTACTATAATATATTACGATATTACTTTAATAAAATTAAAATTATATTAATTTAAGGGAATAAATTACTGACATACAAGCAGCTAAATGTGATTATATTTCCTGGAACCTACATAATAAAGTCTTAAACCAATTAGGTAACAAAAATTCAAACTCACCATCAATCATACAAATAAGGTCTACATGAGAGTACTTGGTCCTGAATGTGCAGTCTCCATATGTCCTTTCCACTTTGTTGTGGTCCTCATCATCATCCACAGGTACAGATTCATGCAGGTGATTGCCCACTTCTCGGAGAGCTGCTGAGCGTGCCTTCTCTGCCAGTACTAAAGCTTGCTCATTCTTCACTATGGCCTCATCTATCAGTTGTCTGACCTAAAAATGTGATGGATTAAATACTTGTGGAAAAATAGTAGTCACTCAACTTGTAACAATTATTTTTTCAATGTATTGGTTTTATTAGTTATTTAGTTATACTTAATAAATTAATAAATAAGCATGTATTCTGCACATTACTATTTATGCAAAACATTCATGTTCAATCATTCTTTTATTACTTTTAACAGTGATTTAAATAAGAGTCACAAAGCACAACCATTTGAATGTGTTGATGATGCAATGTTATCAAACTATGGTTCACTGAAATCGACAACAATGTTATGGCCATACAGTTTATTTAGAACCTTTTCATTAACTTTAGTTTATCACTTAATATTCATATTATGATAACTAAATAACTTATAAACAATATTGTACTCCTAGATACATATTATTTTCTAAAACTGTATCAGTTTCATATTCTTTGTCATTTTACCATATGGAATGCTTTTATACATGCCACACATGAATTATGAGATAAGTTAGACAGCAAATACAATTTATATATTTTTACTAAACACTTCCTCTCACCTTTTTGATCTGGTTCACTGTAAGAGGCTTCAAGTCATCTGCTGTGAGGTCCACCAACTTCTCAGCCAGTTCGGATGGTACTGGCTCATCTTCTGGCCCTAGAGGCTCCTTGTTCTTCATCTTCAAACCCACAGCTTTGCTACACACATTCTTCAGCTTGTTGTAATTGTCAGCTTCGTGGCGCAATCTCCTCCAAAGGGTATCCTGTTCCACCACGGTATCGACGAGAGCAACATCTTTGAACCTCTTACGCTGATTTTCACGGATTTTATCCGGGTTACCATCTTTGTCGGCACGGAATAAGTCTAAGTCAAGCACCATGATATCGCACTGTGTACAGGCCTAAGTTTATTGTAAAAAATGTGAAAGAATACAGTGCACGTAGCACTGCATGCGGTAAAAGAGAGAGGGTTCGTTCAAAATCCTGTTTTTTTAACACATCCTTCAATCATAAATTTAGCCATTTTAATAAAATTAAAGTTAAAATTGGCTACTGCTATTGGCTTTTAAATTGGCTATTGGCTTCAATCATTTTACAGTCCTAAAGTGTTAAAATGTTTCATAAGATTTAGAGAGCTATTCGAAAATATTTTATTTTCAAAGTAAGAATTTGTAATTTTATGGATTCTGAACGTACAAAGATTGACGTTTTAAAATTTTTGACATTTTGGGAGAACCATTCAGAACATTGAGATAGAAAATTTCCTATGTCAATGATTCAGAACAGCGATTTCTTTCAAAAGTGCAAAACATTTTGAACTTTAATTTTAACGGAGGTTGTTGTTGTTAAGTCCACTTTAGCCCATCATAGTTTTGTTACATGAGCTGTACAAAAATAATTAAATTACTTTTTCTTAGATTTATAAATGTATTAAATAATACTAACAAATTCGTAGTTCAAACTTGTACGTAGTTCTTAAAATTTAACTTTAAATTTAAGAAAATACCGATGAATGCATTATTGCTAATATTTTAAAATAAAAGGCGAAACCGTGATTAGAAAGTCGTAGAAAACATGACTTTTATTTTTAATATTAATTGACGTCGACTTATTGTATTTTTACAAATGGCTACATCTGGTGTAATTGTCAATTTGTTGAACGATTGGTCGGTCCTTTCTCGAGCTCTTGTTCATAAATTTTACGTTTATTTGTATAATATGTGGCTCTTATCGGATATCAGCTGAGAGTATTGAAGCTTGTTTATCCATATACAATTTGTGAGTATTTGCTTATAGTACCTAGCATCGCGAGTCGCTTAAAACTGTGTCTGACTGTTCCTTGTTTACACGTATTCGATATCAATGGTTTCCCGATCTATTTACAAAGGGGTGGATTGTTCTCATTAAATTCTGTTTAGGTTCCTGTTGGATGGTTTTCGTTTTGAATTACGATTACTTGTAGTTCTAAGAGGTTATAGATTGATGGTACTGGTTGATGCGCTTCAGATAATTAGGTAAAACGGGTTTGTTATTGCAACCCACTTTTTCGTAATTCGCACAATGCATTGCCGGTTGTGCCCTAATCATCGACGATATTTTTTAAATAAATTTTAACACGGATCTACTTTGAAATCAGATTTATTTTATGTATTGTACAAATCAGTTAGGATTGAGAGGTGTTCCTGACACATTCATGATAAGAACTCGGCCCCCAAGCTAAAAAATGAATCAGATTCTGACAAGAGTGGTTATCATATAAACATTGATTATAAATATAACACACAGTTGCAGTAAACTATTTGTTGTATGATTTAGTTATAGAAGTAACTAATGCCAATCAGGATACAAGAATTTATTATATTAGTTCATAAATATATTTTAACTCAGTCTGGGAGTAAAACATGTGATTTGTATGTGTTTAACATAGGCTGGACCAATATGGCATATTCTGGTCTGGACATATTCTTGGATATGCAGGGAAGGTTTAAAAATTCAGATGACTAAGTAAATTATTATTTGTAAATGCTATGTATGGTAAATAACATGTAAGTAGCTAGTCATTAAAGTAAATAATGATTGTTTCAATGTTTTATTGAGTTTATATTGACATTCAAAGATTCTTTATTGTATTTCCATATTACTGTTCTTAACTTTTTGGAAAAAATAAAAATTAACCAGTTAAAATGCTTTTATAATTTATAACTTATTCACAATCTACAATAAGTAATAAGTTTATTTAATAATAAAAAGGGAACTGATCTAAGAATGGCCCTAGATTAACAAAATCTCAACTTATAAGTACATCAGTAACAAAAGGATCAGCAACTAATCTTAATGGTATAAATATGTACCTGATAATATTTAGTGATACTAAAGTAATCCAGCCAGTCTACAAGTGATGAGTCATTATATGACTAAAAGTCTGAATTACATCATAGAATATCTGATGCAGAAAGCAAAATGCAAACTAATTTTGTGAAGAAACTAACTTTTTTGAACATTATTATGTAATGGTAAAAAATAAACGATGCAATTGCAGTATGACACAGATAAACTTAACTTTTAATAGCATATACTATTATTAGTATTACAAATACAAAAATAAGTTAGCTTTTTGCCTCTTCCAATTTTATTTATTTAATCATCCTGTTTCCCAATTAGAGTATAGGCTAAAATGATTTTTGTTTATTCATTTCTTTATGCATGTTATTACTTAAAATACATAAAATTAGGCAGGCAAAGCTGTATGTAAAATAGAGTACTAAATATTTGTAAACAATGCTCCTAAGTAATGCTCACTTTATTTGTCCGTAGGCGATGTTAAGATGATTCCATTAAAAGACAATCAGGATGTGGCATCATTCCTTGTCACCAAACACTCATGGAGGGGGAAGTACAAACGAGTTTTCTCCATTGGCACTCATGGTATTACCACATACAACCCGGATTGTTTGGAGGTAACCAACAAATGGCTGTATGCAGATGTAGTCACTATTGCATCCGCAAAACATTCAAATTCGACCGCCAACCATGACTTTACGCTTGTCATGAAAAAAGAAAAGAAAGTGGATTCGATGAAGTTTTCTTCGGAACACAAATGTTTGATTCTCACTGAGGCTTTTAAGTACAGACATGCATTCGCTGAAAAACCTAAGGATATTTATGTGAGTATTTAGTGTTAATTTTCAGAAAGCCCAATATCTAAATAGGTATTGTTTACATACATTTTCTGTTGCCTAGTAAATATCACTTTTGACCAGTAAATACAGGCCTTACTACTTTTATTTAGCTGTAACTCAAAATGGGTATCATTCTTGATAATCGAATTTAACATAGGATGGCAAAGCATTCACTGGCTCACTACTGTTTATTTACCCAACTGTCGTAGTTTACCGCTTACGACATTTATTTTACTTACAGTCAGAAAACAAGCCATTTATATATTTGTGTTTCCAGAGATACCAAGCTTACAAACACCATTGGAGTGGGACTCGTCTGCCAGTAGTACTAGAAGTTGGTCCTTGCGCCTTAGAACAGCTGGACCCATCCACACATACTTTACTCGCCAGCTATCCATACTGCGATATGCAAGGAATACTACCAGTCCGAGACGTACCAGGCGGCTTTGTGCTCGCCGTCGGAGGCTACAGCAGACTCCATCTCTTCTCCAATGCCATGGACCATCAGATTATCATCAACAAAATGCTAGAAATGGCAAGCCTTACTCTAAGCATCAGTATCAAAGTCTTGTCTACGATGATAACATTAGACGATTATCATGACCAGAGATTTGGAAAATACAGGTATGAATTTCAGTTTAACTTTTAAACTAAATGATTCGTCATTCAGTGTCATATGCACACATGGCTGCATAGTAAACACGGGTACTGGGCAACTGGCTACGTCTCTACTATTGGGCCGTGACCTCAACCGTGATTCCGTTTTCCCATAGTCTACGTTTTTCGTTTGCCATTGGTACTTGATGCTATCGATGTTGTAAATCGATTTAATTTTTACGATCTAAAATAAGTAAATACGAAAATCCGTTATCTACAAAATATAAGTACTTATACAATTTTACATGAATTAGTAATATTAGAAAAAAATAAATGAAAAACGATATATATTTTTTTTTACCTGAAAATTTAGACTAGTTATACTTATATAAACTAGGTACCAAGTTGTCCTTCTAAATTAACCATATAGGTACATACGTAATTAAATTTATTGCTCATTCGCATATGTGTTACCCTACATTTGATTGTAGCCTGTTGATTGGTGCGACCTTGAGTGTGAACTCATTTATCTAACGTGATACGCTCGTTTTGTGGACGGATCAATTTTGTCCATTATATCTCTAATTATGATGATATTTTAGGAGGAAAAAGTCCGAGGAAATTTTTTTTTGCTATCTTGTACCTATGTATTATACTTAAGTACACAAATAAACGAAGAATATTTCCTCATTGTAATCTAAACTTATAAATAATATAAAGCCCAAGCTAAGCTCAAGTACTAGTTACTGGTGATAGTACATTTAACGAAGTAGACTTTAGGCTTTATAACATTACGCTTTGACCAATGGGAGCTGAGCAGTGAATGAAATCGAAATATAAATACTAAGAACTAGCTTTTCTCAAAGGAGGTTTTTAGTCAGTAAGAGTCTAACCCTCCCTCTTACAAAATCATGGGCGAGAGAAGTGATTTGATAATTTTTCCTGTCCGAAAAATATGATATAAGTAACTATACATAGAAAAGTCCATAGGCTTAAGACCCCTTTTTCTAAGCTATAGCACAAACATCGTGGTTTTATGTGATAGATTAGTATTATAAGTATGAAGGCTTCTGTGTCTTACCACATAGTGGGCGTATTGCTAGCGAGAGAAGCGTAAAATTTATTGGGAATAACGACTCACGAGGATTCGGTAACAAGAGCGTTGGAAGCGCGACGTCGCGCCCGCTGCTCATGAATAAGAGCCCCGTTGGGACTTGAAAGTAGTAGAAAAGTAGGTTAATTTACGTGATTAACACCCAGTTTCGGAAAGGCCGATCAATGTTAAAATCAATTTAATCTCTTGTCAAGTCATCTGATTGGTTGTTGATAATTCAGTCAACCAATCAGATAACTTGACAAGATATTTAACAGGAGATTAGTTAATTTTAGCATTGACAAGCCTTTCAGAAACTGGGTGTAAGTCGTTATTTACAAAAAAAATTGTATGTCTCACGATAGTTACTATTCACAAGCCTAAAAACCTTGTGGTCATTTTCACCTATAAAAACAAGTTAGGGACGGGTGCCTAATACGGTAGTTTCCAACTAGTCAAATTCAATACTTTTATTCAAATGTCAAAAACGATACTTTTCTATGAAATTTGTATGAAATACTGAGTTATGAGGTCATAGTATTTTTACGTCAAATAGATTACTTATTTCCTAAAAATTAGCAAAAAAATATTTAAAATTTAGTGTATCGATCGATTGATCAATGAAAGTATTGTTATTTTTCAATAGTTTATTGTATTGAAACGTCGAATTAATTTATTTTTACCTAGGAAATTACCCAATTCGACGCTACATATAATATGATTTTGAGCTTTTGCACCTACGAATACAAGTTTTCTTTTACATTTTCTAGTGGTGACCAACATCAGACCTCTCTAAGCGAATTTATAGTTCACAAAGTGAACCCAGCTCGCCACATGGAGCCGATGCGACGGACACTCTGCCTCTCTGACACCTGCATACTGGAGCGGGATCCACAGACATACTCTGTAAGTTCATATTTTTATAATCTATACTCTATAGATATACTATATTAATATAATAAAGCTGTAGAGTTTGTTTGTTTGAACGCGCTAATCTCCGGAAACTCTGGTTCGATTTTTTTTTGTGTAATAGGTCGGCAAACGAGCAGACTGATGTCATTACATGATGGTAAGTAATCAGCGCCATCTATGGACAGCCGCAACGGAGGAGTTACGAGTGCGTTGCGGACCTTTTAGGGATTAGGGATTGGGGAAGGGTCCGGGGTGGGGGAGGATTGGGCCTCCGGTAACCTCACTCACACGGCGAAACGCAACGCTGTGGTTGTTTCACGCCGATTTTCTGTGAGGCCGTGGTATCACTCCGGTGGAGCCGACCCATTCGTGCCGAAGCATGGCTCTCCCACACTCGAATTGAACAATTCTATATTCATAATCAAATTCAATAAGAACCTTTTTACTTCATAATTTGAGATTAAAGTCTTTATACATTTATCGAGGGAGACTATAGGCTATAAAACATCACGCTACGATATGTAGGAGCCGAGTAGCGCTAGAAACTGCGTGACAGTAAGTAGCTATATGAAATAGATGCAGCATTGACTTGATATGCTTTGAGTCACATGTGTTGGGGAACAAATTTCTTGTCCCTCTACGATATGAAATCGATCGAAGATAAAACCGATACCTATACGAGCGATGTTGTCCCTAGAAATACAATTTTGGACAGCAAATATCTTGTTTATAATAAAAAAAAACGAAATTTTGGTGTTGTGGTTGTGTTGCCGATACAATTTCATATACTCATCGCACCCAGACAAGGAACTACAATTTTTGAATGACACTAAGAATTGTTCTGTGCGGGAATCGAGCCTGCACATCAGCCGGCTACCTAACTTCTGGGCTGATTACCTGATAGTAAACAATCGGCGCCGCCTATATCCGCAACACCTGAGGCGTTAATTAGAGATTGCGGAGGAATCGTGGAGGAGAAGGATTGGGCCTCCGGTAACCACACGCACAAGGCGGACCGGTGGCTGTAAAATAACGACAGCGTTGTGTAAATGTCTTAAAACATTTTTCTTTTGCAGGTGGTATGCTTGCGTCCGTTGAGCGACGTATTCGCTTTAGTACGGGACACGGAACATCCACAGAAGTTCTCCATCGAATATCTAAATGGACAGACACGTACATATTTAGCGGGAGAAAGGTATGACTCGTGAATACAGATTTTAATTTTCTAAAATATGATAAAAGATTACGTACAAAAAAGTTTTAATAATTTGTATCAAATCAATCATGTATCTTAACGTATCGAAATTACTTATGTATAATAATTATTGACCTTCTTATACCTGCTTCTTCATATGGTCTAACTTTACTCCTGAAGGTTAATTCTCAACTTTTTGAAGTCTTCTTTGTCATTGGTCAGTCAGAAAAATTGTTAGTATTGGCACGGGACTGTCTGCGTGGTGATTACTAAAAAATTGGAGAATCGAGTTAATGAGTACTTACGGCAATTTCTACCTCTGCTTTTTTCGTCAAAATCTCCCTTTAAAGAGACAGGCTCATTTTGTCTGGACATATTGTCCAGTCGCAATTGCGGGTGCAACCTCAATAATGCATTGTAGCCACGCCTTTCACTTCCTGGGGCGGCAAAAGTCATAGGATGATCCGATATTACTACCACTCAAAAAACAAAACAAAAAAAATGTATAGAGAGTGTTAATAATAGCGCTTAGAACAAGTAATTTATTTAATTTAATTTATTTAAACTTTATGCAACAAAACATTACATAGGCGGACTTAATGCCGTAGGCATTCTCACCAGTCAACCTTAGGGTGATGCAGAGAGAGTATGGTAGGTGCAACAAGAAGAGAACTAAATAACTAAAGTATGTGCCAACAAAAATAAAATGTTATAGAAATGCGCTGTATGTTACTTATGTATAATTATGAAGATATCAAAACTTTATATTCTAAAAAATTACTACACACAAAAATTCTATCAAAACACAATTAAATAAAAAAAAACAGTATTTCTAACTTATATTTTGTTGTTTTTTAGGGATGCGTTACTGGCATCCTTGCTAGACGGCGTGAGGTCCGCTGGGCAGCGCGATGTACACGTGCGCTCTGTACCTACTCCTCGGGGCTACCGTTTGGGACCTCTACACCAACCAGTTGACGAGGAGACTGAGTCCAATCACCTCAGGTAAGTAGCAAAATAAATCTTAACTGCTAACAAATAACGTATTATTTTGAAAAGCAGTTTAACCTTGCGATCCTGGAAATCCAAGACACAGTAGAAGAACAGTAGGCGTGTTCGCGTGTGTTTTGATGAATTAATTACTTCAGGCTTCGACCAAATTATCATCTTAATTGTTAACAAATAGAGTATCTTTTTTAAAAACATGTTTACCTTGTAAGCTATAATTATACTCATAGAAATCATAGACAAGAATGTCCTGAAAAAAAAAATGTTGATGCAACATGCATTTCGGAATTAAATAACTTAAATTTTGTGCTTTGCGGCTAATTAGAAAATCTTTAAAGAACCAATTCACAAGCAGAAATTCTTAAAAAAACTACACTACCTTTATTCTTGATTGGTGGGTTTAAAACATTGATAAATATGAATACACCGATGAAAACATAAGATATCGATAAATTTTTGAAAGAGCGAATATTTTCCTTCCAGATTATTCCAGAACCCAGTGGGCATGTCTCGCGCCGAGGTGATAGAACGATTCAACGCTAACGTGGGCTACAGCGGCCTTATATACTCCGTCAGCCAAGACGTAAGACATTATTCTAACACGCTCTATAACTGCACTATACATGCATACTATACTAATATATTAACATACAAAATTTTCATATATTTTTAAGTTTTATTCTAAATTCGACCTTATGACTATAGAGTTTATGTTGCAAATTGTATAGATTTTCATAAAAAGTATCATCTCATTAGGATTCATTCTAAAAAGTTTGTTTTACGCATTCATATTTAGTACGAGCATACATTGACATTGATGCATGTTGTAATTTATATTCAGTGGAAAGTTTAAAATTAAGTTCATTTTTGAATAATGTTATTTGGGTTACGAATCGGGAATATGAAACCTACATTTCATTTTTTATTTTTATTTTTTTATTCTTTAGTTTGTTTGTTTTTTTATTTATTCTTTTATAGGGATCTGCTTTCATTATAATGTATTGATGGAAACTAAGAAAGGAGTTTAGAATACATAATGAAACTCATGTCACGCAATCCACAAACATCACGCTTTCTATATATTATATATTTGTATTATTGTTTCCTGGGACATATTAATGTACCTTGTGTGCCTTTATATAGGCCCGTCCCCTGTTGTGGCTGTTTCTTACGTGGGATCTTGTAAGTCCCCTGATAATTTTATTATTTTACACCCTTATATTGCTACTCTGTACAATGAAGGTAGAGGGAGTGTCTACCAAATCTTCCCATCGCTTTAGGGCCTCGTGGTCGTGGGTTAGAAACATCCATCTACATGTAAATACCATAGAATATACTATGCGATGTCTGCACTAACTATTGGAATGTTGTACATTAAGCATTATGTATTTTGTTGATACTTAACTAAGTCACGGGTTCTTTATTTGAATTTGAATTGGGGTATTTTGTTAAAAAGTTGGGATAACAGTTTTATATTTGCACGATATTGTTGATAAATCTTGAGTATCCGACATGATATCGTTGTGTGAGTTTACCAAGCTGAGTGCGCTAAAATGTTGCATCGCAGCGTCTGTTCGCGGAGAACAAGGAGAAGTTGATCACTGGCGCTTTGTCCGCGCTGGTGAGCAGTGCGCCTTCTGGCAGCAACTTAACGCCCCGCGAGCTTGAAGCACAGTTCCACGCGCTGAGAAGACTTTGTGCCAGCAAAGTTGGATTTGCTGCCTTCACTGCGTTACCTGGGTGAGTTTTTTATATTTATCCAGCTAATATGACTGCACACGGTTGTTGCGGTGGCTGGGCAACTGGCTGCCGCGCAACGTGTTGTGGGCTCGATTCCCGCACGTAAAAACTCTGTGTTATCAATAAATTGTGTGATGTGTTGTGTATTTGAAATTATATGTTTGGAAAAAACGCACTCACGATACCGAAACAATCCAAACAATCCCTACACAGGAAATATCCTAATGTAGGGCAAAAAGTTTTTCGTAAAAAAAAAACAAAAATCAAGCAGTATACATTTACCTTCTCTATTTACGGGTCTTTCGGGGAGGCTACAAAATTCCAATTGCGCAAATGTATCTTAAGAGAGTATTAATATTATTCTTGTACCCTCTAGAGCAGCCGGGATCGCGGGGCAAGCGCAATAAGGTGCCGCGGCCTCGGCCTAAAGCAGAAGGGGTTTTTAGTCAATAAGAGTCTGACACTCCCTTCCGCCCCAACCCGGGCGGGAGAAGTCATTTAAAAAAAGTATTAATATTAAGTATGTGTAGTACATAATACATATCTACTGGGATGTCTATTTCCAATAAAAAAATCCATTGTCACTTAACGTTAGAAGTTATCTTTAACTTTCTTGACATTTCCAAATATTCTATTCTATAAATAAAAATATTCTATTCTATTCAACTCTTGAGCCGTGAAAAGGCTTCATTAACTTGATGGATAATCTTATCTTAGTCGATGAAAGGGGGGCGTGTAATGTTTCCGTGTTGTTGTTGTTAGTATAATGGACATATGTTGATAAAAGACACATGTTTCTTATCTTTTGTTTATTGGTATCTTGTGCCAGTGCTTTTACCCTATTTGTTAACATGGTTTGAAGATAAAAAGGGTGTTATTGTAATGCTATTGATCTATGATACACTTGGGTTATTTTTATTACACAAACTCTTGTTGGTATTTTCTAGTTATAGGACTATTGCATATTAATGGCAAACGAGCATGCGTAATACCTGATGGTAAGCAATCATCGTCGTCCGAAAAAAAAGAAGTAGCTACGAGTGCGTGGCCGACCATTTGGGGATAAGGGTTGTGGAGATTTAGAGATTGGGGGAGGGGAGAGACTGCATCATAAAAATAAACTAACTGACTGATATTTCGTAAAGTTTTCGAGAATGGATCGGCACGGCGACAGTGGCGGCACTGCGGCGTGGCTCGGCGGCGTGCGCTCACGCCGCGCTCGACGCAGTATGCGCCCTCTTACAACCAATGCACGCGGAACCAGACCTGCGGCAGGAACAGCTGAACAAAGCCAGCATGCTGTCGTCTTCTACATTCCTCGAAGGCCTGCTCACTATGTGGGCTGATCATGTCGTAAGTACCTAAGTTTGTGCTGTTTGAAATTGGGCTTTATGCTGTTGCGATAAGGTTCATATAGCGTTAAACTTAGACTATCGGTATGTCTACCCTTTTTGAGGAATCGATAAAGTCTCATATCCTGATACTATTATAAATGGATGGATGGTTATTATGGTGGTTTTGTTCCTTTTTCTCGTAAAGTTTACTGAAACTTTTCGTTGAAGGTTTATGTTGGCAATATCATTTGCAGGAGCTTGTATTCTATAAGAGACTATACAGTAAAGTACAGTAAAACTCTATTTCTATTCTCATAAGGTCTATTTTTCCCCAGACTGGCGGCAGCGGTGCCTTAGTAGTGGCGGCCATGTTGGATTTCCTGACGTTCGCACTGTGCGTACCCTACAGTGAGACTACGGACGGCAAGCAATTCGACCAGCTGTTGGAAATGGTCTCCAAGAGAGGACGGGTGCTGTTCAAGCTATTTGAGGTAATAAAATAACTTCATAATGCCACTTTTGGTATGGCATGGTTAAAAAATACGTATTACTATTCCTGGGAGAGGGGAGTCTATGAAATGTAACCACCTGTGACACGGGACGGGGACGGGAGCAGGGCTCAAAAATCATGAATTTCATGTGTCATGGGGATAACCCCCAGTAGGGTTGTATTTTGAAACATTTTCAAGAAAGAAAAACACCTTTTTATTATGAGAAATATGAATATGATGTTCTGATTTGGTAACGTACATGCAGCACCCTTCGATGGCGATAGTGAAGGGCGCGGGGCTGGTGATGCGCGCGCTGGTGGAGGAGGGCAGCGCCGCGGTGGGCGGGCGCATGCAGGGCCTCGCCCTCGCCGAGGCCGCGCTGCCGCGACATCTGCTGGCCGCGCTCTACGCGCCGCCCCGACTGCAGCACCGACATCTTGCCAGGCATCTCGTCGCGCTATGGCTTGTCGACCATGCGCCCGCGCATTGCTTGATGCGACGGATCATGGTATGTACTAAGTTCGAGAGTTCGAGACTAGCGATTATTTAAATTTTCTTCACTATATGTATACTGTAGTTAACGGAATTACGGGTGAATTACTTGATTGCCCGTTATCTGCAAATTTGGTTTAAGTCTTACAATTAATACCTTGTAAAAATATTTTCTTAAACAAATGTATCTTGCCGAAAACATAAATTATGCATACAGGCAACATTATGTCTCCTGATGCATAAAACAGCCATAATCTATTAGTTTTTAACTCCAAAATCGTCCCCCCCCCAGCCATCAGGTCTGCTAGCATTCCTGGAGTCCCCGGACGCGCCCCCGGCAGTGGCAGAGAGCGACGTGGAGCCCGAGCGCGACAACTTGTCGCTGGCGCAGGCCAGCGTCAAGCCGCGCGCTCAACACTGGGAGGCGCTCGAGAGGCAGGTCAAGTACGTCGAGAAACATTTAGAGGTGAGTTATAGTCCAGTAGTAGTTGATGTATACTATAAAAACAAATTAAAAAACCTTGTCATTCTCTTTCTTCCTCTCTTTTCATCTCTGCGTGTGAAAAAAATGTTTTTTTTTGTAAATTGATGTAATGCAAAATGGTATCAAAACATTGTAAAACGACTGAAACTCATCAAAAGACTTGTGCCGCCGTGGTTAGGGCGAGAGCGAGTCATAGACTCTTACTGAATAAAAACCACACCATTCCTTCGCCTACTCTAGGACAGGGTGACGAAATATTTTGCGGTTGGACCGTAACCCCGGATTGTAAAGTGACAAATGTTTTATATTTTATAATGTAATAAAAGCAGAAGTTGTCATAAGACAAAATGATAAATCTGAGCAAATTCTAAACCAATAGAAATTAAGAGATAAAAGATTAGAAAAAAGAGAGTAAGAAAAAGAGAATGGCTCGGAAAAGAAACGTTGACAGACCAGCCAGTTTTAGTAGTTTTTAAAATTTTTTGGATTACCTAACTAACGTATATATTTATTTTCCTCATAGCACTACGCCCAACTTGCCCTCCAACATTGGGCAGCTCGCCTGGGCCGTCCGGCGACGGAGCGGAGGGACGCGGCCCGGGAACGTCCCGTGGTACTGCGGAGACGCAGGGAACGGGTCAAGTCAACTGCCAACTGGCCACTGTTCTACTACCAGTTTCATAAAGACCATGCACTCCCTAACCTTATATGGAATCATACTGTAAGTGCCTTTGTACGGTTCTCACCGTACGTTTTTTGCTGATTGAGATATGATATTGATATTTAAATCAAACTATACTTCGTTCCATAATTAGAGACCACAATTTGACAACTGAAAATGTCAAACTACAAAATAATGTGGCCAGATTTTTTAACATAGTGATGGGCCCGTGTACGATGATTTAAAATACCGATACCGTTTTTGTTAATAAATTAGCCTGAGCAAAACAAAACAACGTTGCGTTGATGTAATTCTGGGCTTAAATTATGTTTGACATTCCATCTGTCAAATTTCTGCGAGGGAATACCAAAGCTGACCATAGTTTCTTGTAAAATAATTACATCATATCAATGCTAATAATTAATCGTTTTACAAATTATTTTCGGTCTTTCGGTAAATACCGGTCACGGGACTTCACTATTTATGAAATGGAAAAAACTAAAACTTGCAACACTCGAAATGTCAAATTGTTGTCTCTAATTATGAAACAAACTATAGATTTGTTTTGAGATAACGTGTATTGAGTCCACTTCACTTAGAATTAATGTTTTGATGAATGACGCGCGTACCGCTGCGTAAGCCTCAATGATAAGTCCTCTCACCACTTATTTTTTATATCTTTTACTGTGCCCGACAGGGTCCACGATTGTTACCTATATATGTCTACCACCTAAGCCTACATTGTGGAATGCAATAAAGTATTGAGTATTGAGGTTAGCGTGAACAATATGTTCAATTATGTGTGGAAATTAATACTATTCAATATTGTTGATAGTGCTAAATTGACAATGTGCGGCTTCACCGTACAGGTTTCATTATGCAAATAATTTCTGAAGACTTCTTTGTAGTACTCGGTAGAAAAATATTAAGGAATGTTAGCTTTGTAGCTTCCATGTTACGTGCATATTCTAAAAAGTGTTTTATACAGCTTTATTGAGGACTTTCGGTCGTGTGACAATTTGCGTGATATTGATAGTATCAAATGAAATTCGTTTACTGATATTTGAAAAAACTTATCGAGCTATTTTTTAAAGAAAGCATTATCCGAGTAACTTCCTTTAGTAATCAAACGAGTATCTTATACTCATAAGCATAAAGTCTATTTTCCTTTCAAAAGACACGAGAAGAACTTCGTAACGCTTTGGAAAACGAACTTCGAGCGTTTACATCGGACAGAGAAGTGGCCGGTACGACCCTGACATCATGGAACCATGCTGAGCTGGAGGTCCACTACCAGTGTCTGCAGAACGAGGTCAAGATCGGGGACTACTATCTCAGAATACTTCTGGAACAGAGGGATAATGATGACAGCCCTATTAGAAAGTCGTAAGTGATTCAATCTTTTTGGTATTTTCTTAATCGCAATACTTTCGTAATAGTAGTGTCAACTGGAGAACAACACAAATATATCCACTATAAGGGAAGTAAGGCGCTATAAACGTTAGCTGAAGGTAATAAATGCAATATTTACGGGCACATGACGTCTCAACGAATAACAGCATAAAATCTCTAAAAAATACATAGTTAGGTATAATCATAAAATTAATCAATGAAGGTGTGATTATCTTGATGGGTTTTATAACATAAATACATTAATTTTATGCTTGAGAAAACTGCCAATGGGCTGCTTTTTTAGCCTAAATTATTCTATACCTATTCTAATCTACTGAAGGAACAGCATGAAGAGTGTATTAAGATATTATAAGTCAGTTTTAATGAATACTATTCCATTCCAGCTACGAATTCTTCAACGACCTATACCACCGGTTTCTATCGACACCTAAAATCGAAATGAAGTGTATGTGTTTACAAGCAATGAGCATTGTGTATGGACGGTACTACGAGGACATCGGACCCTTTGCAGACACCAAGTATATCGTGCAAATGTTGGATAGGGTAAGTTCTTTCTGTATGTCACATACACATAACTATAAAGTGATTATGAATGCCCACTACGTAGCAAAGGCCTCTTCTCACACTTAGAAGGTTTGAAAATTTATGGTCACGCTTTTTCAAGGCGGGTTGACTTCAAACTTACTATTATAAACTTTCCCTTTACTCATCTCTCCTCAATCCATAAATATCAGACCAAAAGACCGGTAACTCTCTGATTTGGCGGGTTTCCATGCGGCGTCGATTGCTTACCATACAGGTTTACCGCGTAATCATTTGCCAACCTATCACAAAATGAAAATGTAAACAAAACTTTATACGTTTGGGTTTCCTTACGATGTTTTGTCCACCGTATGTCTGATGATTAAATGAACTTAGAAAGTAAGTGAAAGATTGTCGCACATCAACTTTGAAAGTACTTTAAAGCACTTTGATCTAAATTGCTGATAAATTATGTGATATAGTTAATAGTAATTACATTATATATTCAAATTTATCTGGTGCATATCAGCTATTCAGTTCAAGACATTCTGAAGCAGGCTCTTAGCAAAGCATATAATAATATTTAACCTTTCGACCACCATGGACGACTATAACCTACAAACCAAATGTAGGTACTTATTTATCACATTTTGTGGTCGGCTATGCTCGACATCGGTGAAATAGTCTATTTTGCGTTAGTCGTCTATAGCCGACCATGGTGGACAATACAGATGTTTAGATATTGCTTGAGGCTTTGACGAACGTATTTTTTGTTTCAGACATGTGATAGAATGGAAAGAGATAGATTAGTTCAGTTTTTATCGAAATTAATATTACACAGAAGAAATGTTAGCGATATTTTAGAATGGAATGGTGTTAGGTGAGTAAATATTTATAATTATATTACTTAAGACTAAATAGTATATATAAGGACTAAATTATATCACATACGGTTGTTTAGATTTACGATTTTTAATTTTTGGTAATAACTACGATTTACTAAAAACGACGGTGGCGCCAGTGAAGTAACAATCAATCAAATTTCAAATTTTTTCATCAATTAACATTGGCGCCAACTTATAACTAACAAAAACCACTACTCATGTTATTTTTTGTGTGAAAAAAATATAAATAACGTGAGACGTACAACATTTGTTAAAAATAAAAAAAGATTGCAAGAGGCTTTTATTAATGAGTAGCGTACGCGTCGCGTCGACATCGGACGGACGTTGGATAAGAGTCCCGTTGTGACTTGAAATTTGTAGAGCTTTTCTCAGTAATTCACTTCATTAAACCATTAATTTCTACACATAAGTTATATTTGTTTTAGATATCGAAATTAAGATTTAAATTTATTTATATTTTCAATAAAATAGACTGACCGTCGGTTGCCGAAAGGCCGATCAATGTTAAAATGAATTTAATCTCTTCTCAAGTCATCTGATTGAAAGGCTCGTCAACGCTAAAATTAACGAATCTCCTGTTAAATCTCTTGTCAAGTCATCTGATTGGTTGTTGATAATTCAGTCAACCAATCAGATGACTTGACAAGAGATTTAACAGGAGATTAGTTAATTTTAGCGTTGACAAGCCTTTCAGAAACCGGGTGTTACAGTACAAGGGTGATTCTCCAAAAAACCTTAACTTTTATTTAACAAGTCATTATCCTCCCAGGTTTTTAAGCATCTTAGTAATTTATTTTATACAATATTTTTAATCGGTTGCTTGTAAGCAGTGGTGAGATTTAATTTAATAAAATAATTATCTGTGTTTTAATAAGCAGACTCGTTAATTTTCGGTTGAGGATAATGACATTATTAAATTTTTTTTAATTGATGTGAAGAATCAGATTGTCATAGACGTATATATTACAACTTGGTACAATATGTTACGACTTGGTACGTGTGGGTACCAAGTCGTAACATATTGTACCAAGTTGTAATATATACGTCTATGACAATCTAAAATATCTGTTTAAATTAAATTTACTGCATCAATGTGATCAGGTTTTGCAACTGACACATTTATGCAAACTTACAATTTGTTTTATAAAAAAAGAAAAACGAAACTGACTTTTATCCTAAATACTAATTATCACAATTCATTTACTACGTATGTATAACATAGTGCATTATATTCCTTCTAGGATCCTAGTAGAATTAATGACACTGGCACACTTGCACACGTCCCGCGCCACGGTGCCGACACAGAGCAACGTCATCGAAGGGCCGCAGCAACAAACCGGCGGGGACCGAGAGTGGTACTACAACGTCGATCAAGGAGATAAAGTGCAGAGGAAAGGACCTGTTAGCTTTCAACAGGTATGGACAATATTTATGGACTGTTACTAAGAAATTATGATGTGAAGGGCCTTTCTTTCGGTAATCTGTGCCTCTCGTGCCTTGCCTGTCTATGAGACAATAGGTCACACACCATAGATGGGTCCCAACACGGCTGACGTTCTGCCGAGGTTGCGAGGCAAATGCAGTAAAGTACTGTTGAATTTAAAAAAATTTAAACTCGATTTAATAGATTAAAAAATCGCATGTGACATCTCAGTGAAGTGGTTATTTTCGACTGGCGAGAAGGTAAATGTAAAATATTATGACAAAACAAAGTTATGGGAATAATACATTTTTATATTTATATATAATTTATTGTACACATTATTAAAAAACAAATTTAATTGTTATTTATTTATTCTGAATTTAATGTTTATTTTGTTTTTCAGTTAAAAGATCTATACAAATCAGGGGAGATAAACAACAAGACGAAGGCGTGGGCCAACAGTATGGAGGGCTGGCGTGCAGTGGGCGGCGTGGCGCAGCTGAAGTGGACGCTGGCGGCGCGGGGCACCGCCGTCTACGACGAGAGCGCGCTCGCCGCCACCGTACTCGACCTGCTCATTACTTGCGCCAGATACTACCCCAGCAGGTATACTACGATTAGCCTCAAGTCTTTTGTTACAACTTCTGAGTCTGTGTGATTAGGTTGCTAATGGGTAGGCATGCTCAATCGTAGGTTGCATCATCATGTATTTTATAGGATTAAATGACAAATTAACAGATGGGTCACTGAAAGTAAGCAATCACAGCTGGAAAAGTGGAGGAGTTACAAGTTCTTTCCCGCTTATTTGGGAGTTGGAAAGGGCATGCCGTGGAGAACAGTTGATGACTTATAACTATAGACTTCATAATAAAATGAAAGATACAATTGATGTCTGATTGATCAAAAAAAGTATAATTTCCTTTACTTTGTACCAATAAATCCCTATCTTACTGTACCTATCTATCTAGAGTTTATATAGCCGATAAAACATTTTCTCCTTCGCATACATATTTTTCGCATATATTCTAGTGTATTTTTTACTTAGAATTATACCTCAAAAATGTTTAACCTTTCTGTGTATTTTAGGGACGAAGAGGACGCAGTTATAAGACCATTACCAAAAGTAAAGCGAATGCTATCTGAACCAGCTTGTCTGGCGCATGTTGTACAACTGTTACTCACATTTGATCCAATTCTCGTCGAAAAGGTAAGAAAATATGTGTCTAATTAAAATTCCTACACGCAATTTATACATTACCAAAGTTGCAGTTAAGTAAGCAAAATTTTATATTGGGCCGAGAATAAGTCCTTGAGGAACACCAATTTACAATGTAATCAATTGTTTGAACATTTTCATAAAAATGAATTGAAACAATTATAATTTCGGTATCTAGGTTAAAAATTCTAATAATATTGAATTGTAAGTTTGTTTTGTATTCAAACACCATGTTATAGTAATTCTGACATGTTACTAAATTAAGGAACGCCTTTGATGCATCATAAAAAACACATTGTTTTTAAAATATAATTTATCTTTAATCTATACTAATATAGAGAAAAGGTTTAAATGTTTAAAACTACTAGAACGATTTGAAAAATCTATCACTATTCGAAACTACGCGAGTAAAACCGCATTCCACAGCTAGTATTTTAATAAATTTACATTTTTCAGGTAGCAACTCTCCTGTACGAAGTTATGCAAGATAATCCTGAAATTTCAAAGTTATATTTGACCGGAGTATTCTACTTCATGTTGTTATACACAGGATCGAACTTGTTGCCGATTGCGAGGTTCCTTAGATTGACTCATATGAAACAAGCGTTCAGAGCTGATCAGGTTTGTATGACACATTTTTATGCGCAAATAACTTTCTTTCGTTATTGGCAAACTATTTTATTTGTTATGTGAACCGAACAAGGTTTAAAATGCTATAACTTTCTTAAGTTTTTTAGGTTAAAATATTTTTAACGTTTTTATAATATTTTCTGTCTCTAGTCAAGTTCAGATATAATGCAGAGGTCGATATTAGGCCAGTTACTGCCAGAAGCAATGGTTTGTTACTTAGAAAACCACGGCGCCGAGAAATTCGCGCAGATCTTCCTCGGAGAGTGGGACACGCCTGAGGCTATATGGAACTCTGAAATGAGGTTTGTGGTTTTAGATAGTGTCTTTGTATACTGAGTAAGGTATAAATCTAAAATAGTTATATGGTTATCAAGGCCATTACATAGTGGTGGTTCCACCAGAGCCACCAGAGAGTTGGCCAAGTCAACCCTAATTTATTTTTACTGTCTCCTTACAGTGGTGGGGTTATGATAAAATAACTAGCTACTTTCACCCGCTACTCGGGTCATACAGATCGTAGCGTGATGTTTTATAGCCTAAAACCTTCCTCAATAAATGGTCTATAAAACACAAAAATAAATTTTCGATTCGAACCAACAATTTGTTCAAACGTTCAAACAAACTTTTCAGCTTCATAATATAAGTACAGATTATAATAAACCATCTTCTCCACCCCTCAGACGGATGCTAATAATGAAGGTATCAGCTCACATTGGGGAGTTCACCCCCCGGCTCCGCGCCCACGTGGCGGCGCGGTACCCGTACCTGGCCATCCCAGCAGTCTGCTACCCTCAGCTGCAGCATGAGCTGTTCTGCAACATGTTCTATCTACGACATCTTTGTGATACGCAACGATTCCCCGATTGGCCTATACCTGATCCCGTAAGTATCATTATGTATTTATTGACTGCACGCTTGGTGCGGTGGCTGGGCAACTAGCTGCCGTGCGACGTGTCGCTGGTCCGATTCCCGCACGGAACAACACTTTGTGTGATCCACAATTTTTTGTTTCGGGTTTGGGCGTGATGTGTATGTGAAATTGTATGTTTGTAAACGCAACCACGACTCAGGGCAAAATCCTAATGTGGAGCAACTTTTTTTTTAAATACAAACAAACTTATTGTTATGGAATAACTGAGAATATGTATGCTTCTAGAGAACTCTTTCAAACTGTATATAAAGTAACTAACTCTTTCTCTTACCACTTATTGGGATATTTACCTTGCGAGAGCGAGAGGGAGTGTTATAGTCTTACCAATTACAACCACCCGCTTCTTCACTTCGCCTAGGCCACGGTACATTTTTGCGTTTGCACCTGCTATCCTAACTGATATTTATTAAGAAAGGAGCCTTATAATCAATATAATGTTATAGTTCGAAAAAAAACGAAGATTAGTAGTAATAAGGCTCGTTTGTTGATTAACTTTTTAATAAATCTATGCTCGTCGACTTCAATATGTAAATTAGTGCGCTGTCATTCGATAAGGAAAAAAATATAATCACCTTATTTCTAACAATTAGGTTGGTCTTCTCAAAGACGTATTAGAAGCGTGGCGACGTGAAGTAGAGAAGAAACCTCCGTCCATGACAGCGGGCGAGGCGTACGCCGCCCTAGGCCTTACTACTGGTCAACACGACGAGGCCGCAGTGCGCAAAGCTTACTATAGACTTGCGCAACAGTATCATCCTGATAAAAATCCTGAAGGAAGGGTAAGTTATTAGTTTGTATGTAATTTTCAGTGACATAAGTTCAGTTCATTCGTTTGGTTGCGCAAACTTTTTGCGCAATTATGCGCATTTTTTGCGTACTATTGTGTGACTTTTTAGGTATTATTCAAACTTTTTCTCAACTGTGTACTAGAGTCGCGAAAGTTTTAACACAGAAATATTTCAATTAATAAATGTTTTCTACTGTATGCCGAATGTGTGTGACTAAATGAATAAATAAAATATACAAAATATGTTAACAAACTCATATAAACTGGAATTGTTGACTTAATTCAAATACAAATTTAAACACGCCTCATTGCCATATACGTAACAGCGATGTTAACTGTAAATGTATTACTGTACAGGATCGCTTCGAAGCCGTCAACCAAGCGTACGAGTTCCTTTGCAGCCGTAACGTATGGACCGGTGACGGACCTAACACCAACAATATTGTTCTCATACTCAGAACACAGACTATACTCTTCCAAAGATACTCTGAAGGTAAGGCCTTAGAACATTTGTTTTGCTTTTAAATGTTAAGAGATAGTTGATAAAATTAGTGATTAAGAAAAGAGTTGGATTTGTTCAATATGTGTTTGGTTATAAGGCCAGGGTCGGGTGCAAAATGATTGAATTCAACTACAGACACCGCCGCATGTTGATAATGATTGTGAACTCCGTTAGTGACTGTAAATTAATCGACCATGAGACGGTTATGATATAAAAATAAGCTCAACATTAAGCGTGTGTCCATTTTTTTGTGTGATAAGTTGTCAAATGATCAGTGTGGCGTGGTGCTAAGCGATCTTAGACGTCTATCAACACCCGCAACACCAGAGGAGTAACAAAGACGTCGCTGGCCTTATGAGACTTAGGTACTTGAGAATTTTGGGTTTGTGGTTGTGTCCTCCTTGAATTGGGTCTCCTGTAATCAAACTCACACGGCGAAACGCAACTTTGAGCCTATTTGAGCCTGATTTTTCAACACTATATTTTGTTGTCAGTGTTGGCCCCGTACAAGTACGCGGGCTATCCTCAGTTACTGCGCACGGCGCGGCTGGAGGCGGAGGCCGAGCAGTTGTTCGCGGAGCGGGACTCCGCCCCCCTGCTGCCCGCCGCCTGCGAGCTGGCACACGCCACCGTGCGCTGCTCCGCGCTTAACGCCGAGGAACTGCGCCGGGAAGGAGGTTTACAGGTAATTATGAGTTACAAGTAGTCTTGTTTTGTATCTAATTTTGTCCTGCAACTTAGCCCAAAATATTTTGATACCTCTTTAAAGTTTAAAGAGACAGTTTCGAAGATTTTGAGTCTGAGAGTAACTTAAAAAATCTTTCAGGTTAAAAGTGCATATAATACCTAGCGACAACGATCTGAAGGAAAAGGCTATAGAAGGTTGCTTTATTAATAAAGAAAATTATTTGGGTTGGGATGTTATTATAGCGTATATTATTATACATTTTTGTGAATGTCGAAAATTGCACCATGAGTACCTCATGCGTGCGGGGTTGCGGGGTAAGCACCATAAAACGCCGCGGCTTCGGTCTACAGCGGGAGAAGGAACGGAGGGGCTTTTAGTCAGTAACACCCGGTTTCTGAAAGGCTTGTCAACGCTAAAATAAACTAATCTCCTGTTAAATCTCTTGTCAAGTCATCTCATTGGTTGTTGATAATTCAGTCAACCAATCACATGGCTTGACAAGAGATTAAACTGATTTTAACATTGATCGGCCTTTCGGAAGCCGGGTATTAGAGTCTGACACTCCTTCTCGCCCCACTCCCTCCCCGCTAGATCACGTGTTAACGCCTTCCCGCAGGTCCTGCACGAGGCGATGTCCCGCTGCGTGCCGGTACTGTCGAGCGCGCGCGGCCCGACCGACATATCTGCGCAAGTATGTGCGCACGCGGCGCGCTGCTTCGCTGTGGCGGCCGCCTTCCCCGCCTGCCGCGCCCTCTGTGCTGAGATGCCGCAACTATGCGTTGATCTAGTGCCACTGCTCAAAAGACCCGTAAGTATATTTTTTTATAGTAAGTAATTTTATGGCGATATTTCGAGTTCTTTAGGTTTGTTAAATGTCATCTCATCACTTTTATATTATATCATTAAATTCTTATCTAATCTCTCCGTTTGTATTTTATCTTTTTCTTCTTTTTCATTTACTTTACTTTCTATGTTTACGTATTGATTTTGTGGAACCACAGAACGGCATAACGTACGTAATACAAAAATGCCACAAAAGTCTGCGAGTACCCATCGAAAAGAATCAAAAACAACTCAACTTTTTATCAAACATTTTTATTTCGTATAATATTAACCCGGAACGTAAATAAAGGCGAGATACAATGTTTTATATTGTGTCTCAAATACCGGCAGATAAGAGGGTTAATAATTGTGTAGTTTCTTAGGTCAAAAATAAATTAATTCGACGTTTCAATACATTAAAATATTATTTTTTTTATATTTTTTAGCTAATTTTTAAGAAATAAGTAAGCTATTTGACGTAAAAATACTATGACGTCAAAATTTGTGTTTTATACAAATTTCATAAAAAAATATAGGTTTTGACATTTGGATGAAAGTATTGAATTTGAATAGTTGGAAACTTAAGGATTAACTGGGTGGATTTTGTTGGCAGAACCTGGGCGAGACAGCATGCGCGGGCGCGGCGGCGGTGGGCGGGCTGGCGGCGGAGGCAGGCTGCCGCGCGGCGCTGGCGCGGGCCGGCGCGCTGCAGGCGCTGCTGCCCTCCGCGCTGCGGTACGACTACACGCTCACTGAGTCCGGCCTCGACACGGACGCTAACCCTAACAAACAGGTACCCACTTCTTACACCAACCAAACTTGTCAATGTGGAAATTACTTACTTATTATCCTCCTCAATCCGAAATTATTTAATCCTCGATCACTCTTACCCCTAATAAGACGACTGCGCTCTTATAACTCTTTGATGTGGACTTCCCATGAACACCCATCCATGGGCGACCCTGATTGCTTACCATCAGATGATCCGTCTCCGCATTTGTCCTATAAACAAAATATAACTTACCTACTTTTTCACTCAGGAAGACTAAGTTCCATCTAAAGATAATTTATTCTGTTATGAACTCCAAATCTTTCTCTTTATCTATTATTCACTATTGTAAGAACAAGGTTCCAAATACTTTTGACCAAAAGATAGAGACCCAAAGAGGGCTTGTTTGCCGCCTTATCCCATAAAAAATAATTTTCTTAAGGGTAAGAATAGGAACAAGGATTAAACTGCATCACATAGCTAATAGTCCACACGCCTGGACACTAGCAACGAGAGTCACAAATACCTCACCTGCCTCTTGGGAGGGCGAGTCCTTATTATTCGTCCTACCGTACCTTCGTCTTTATTATCCTATATTATCTAATGTATTTAATACGGAAACTTTTTCTTTAATAGGAATAAATAAAATAAACTTGTGTTGCTTTGTTACCAAAGAAACGACTTTAAAAGTTTATTTCTTCACAATATTAATTATTCTATTTTAAAATATTTAACTTTTACAATTTTTCTAACAGAAAACAATTACATAAATGACTTGTCAAAATATTTCTTCTTTTTAACATGAACAAAACCACGGAGGTTTATTATCATCACATTAACATAAAAACTCTATAGAAATAAAAATGAAAATAATAACAACATTAAAATAATAATTAAATCCTAAAGAAAAAGTAATGTATGTTTCTTTACATGTATATAAATCTATGCCACTTTTTGTTGTAATGATATAACACAACATTGTCTTTACTGATTTAGCTAATGTTGAGTTTTGAATAATTCGCGGAAGTCCAGAGAAAGTTTGTATGTTGAGATTTTTTTTTAAATCTTGAAAAAGTGTAATGTCGTCGTCTACGTGGGCGACCGCTAGTCTTATATAAATTTATCTTATATTAATTTGGCTAGAGATTAATTTTTTTTTCGGAATGTCAATAAACTCTAATATATCTATATTACAGGAGATAGCAAATCAATTAGCAAAGCAGTGCGTGGTAGCGCTAGCTGCGATGTACGGGCCTCATACAACGCCCTCACCGTTGGACGAGAACATACAGAACTCTCTGCATTTGTTACTGACGCCGTATCTGTGTGGGAGACTGGCGGAACCTGATCAACATGAGGTATGTAATAATATTTTAGATGGTCATTTGGTTTATTTAACAAAAATAGTGTACTTTCTGTATCTCTTACTGTAGTTTTTATCGTAAAGTTTTGATTTTTTATAAACTCTAAAAATTCATGAGTTACTAACGAGAAATATAATAAAAGTTATGTCGATTTTTGCTACAAAGCAACTGTCGTAGATTGTTATATGATAACAATTTTCTTGCATTGAAACCCCAAAATCACTACCTAGTACTCAACAAAGTCGCATTATCTGTCCTTATATCCTTTAAATACTTTAATCATCAAAATTACGCAACGAATTTTGCGGTGCGGTGTTTTTAATAGGTCGAGTATTAAAGAAGAAGGTTTATAAACATAATAACATCCATTAAACAGTGGAGAAATTTAGTGTCGGGGTGGCTCGTCAGTTATCTTAAGTATAATAAGAGAGAAAGTTATTACAAGCAACTAATTTCCTTTCAAGCCTGTCGCACGCATCTTTTGTTAAATCTTTTTCTCTAATCCACAGCTCCTAAAAACCCTAACATCGAACTGGCGCACGCCCTATTTAGTATGGGACAACAGTACGCGCGCTGAACTGAAGGATGTACTGCGCAAATCACGCCCTCTAATGGAGGATGAGGGACCAATCATTGAGCCCTTCACATACTCAGCTCATGAGGGACTTGTGTCTGTCGGAGGAGTGTACATAGATATTTATAATGAACAGCCCGACTTCCCTATTGAGGTAAGATTTACAAATATTTATTTCGTTAGTTTTCTTATAATTGTAGTTTTCTGTTAGTCTCTTCAATTGTTTTGGCTTTACTGATAGATTCTTCTCAATGCCAGTCTTACATAACCTCATAAATTACAGTAAGCGCAATATTGCGCAAAATCACGGTAACATTACGGTTGCCTTTTTCAAAAGTAGTATCTATTCATTTTTAAGTATCAGTCAGCACTTAAATATTTTTTTATCAAATCTCACGCCAATTTAATATTAGGGCAAGTTTGCGCAATACATAGACAAAATATATAGATAAGCAAATAGTCATCAGCAATTGTTGCTATCTTTTTCCTAGAATCCACAGCAGTTTATCCTGGAGTTACTGAAGTTCATCCAGGAAGAGACACAGAACGACATGACGCCGGAGAGGGTGCAACAGGTCACGTACGCATTGACTGCACTCGCCAACGTCATTATTAAGAATCCTGGTAAGTTGTTCCTATAATCGTGTTGCTTTGGAATTAATCCTGGGTTTCAAAAGAAATCAGTAGAATAAAAACCAACTAGTTCGCTAATGTCGAGTCCTTGGTCTGCTTGTAATCGGCCAGTCGTTGGACTTCATAGTCTACTTTAAATTATGGCTCACATAAATTGCGGGGGTTTTGAGAAGATATGACAGGTTGTAGGAAAAATTTCGTACGACCGAAATATAGGTTTTGGATTTTTTTTCCAATAAAACATTCGATATATAATTATACGCGTTTATTGCCCGTTATACAAACCAGGTTCTAATATTATTATTTTATTCTCAAGTGTTAATAACAACCCATTTTGTTTCTAGGTACGGAGATCCAATGCATCGGTCAGTTCGGTTTGATCTTCGGATTATTGTCTGCGCGGGCTCACCCGCAGCTGCAGGAGGGCGCGCTGCGCGTAGTGGGCAGCGCCGGGGCGCGGCGCGAGTGTGTGGAGGACGTCGCCGCCAGCGCCGTGCTGGGACATCTACTGGCATTGCTGGCTGAGAGACCGCCAAGACCTGCTACCCTAACGGCTCTCGCTGCCTTACTCGCCAATACTGCTATAGTTAGAGAAGCTCTTAACAAAGGTATGTCAATTATACATCAAAAACAAATATGTTTATGCATGGATCACTTAAAATTATTGATTTTTGTTGAACATTGATCGTTGCGCAATTGTTGCGCATACAAATGTTTTGCTCAACCGTTGCGCTTATCAACTCATTGTCTAATTGTATCGCTTATGCAATGTTTGTAGATGAAAATGCTTGCGCAATCGTTGCGCAAACCAACAATAAATAAATAAGGTAAAGAAATATTTTTTTCTAAATGTAATATTCAAATGTGTTCAAATATGCTTTATAAATCAAAATTGATTTGAAACGTCTAATATTACGTAACTTTGTCCTCACAGGTGCTGTGATATACTTGTTAGATCTGTTCTGTAATAGTAAACTGCCGGAGACGAGAGAGGCAGCAGTTGAACTGTTGGCTAGAATGATGGCAGACAAATTACATGGACCCAAGGTAATTAACCAATTATCCTTTCTTTTTATTTAAATGTAGGCAAAATCATGTATTAATATAAAGCTCATCAATTAGTTTTGCCTAGCAAAATGGGTTTTGCTAAGTTTTTCAATACTCTAGTGTTTATTTTTTTTTTTTTTTTTCAAGAAAATACAATCGTATGTATCTTAACTTTAAAACAACGAAATTCCGCAGTTCAGTAAACGTCAGAAATTGTATGAAGCAATCTAGTTATCGCCATCGACTATCAATAGTTTACTGGTGAACAACAATCAAAAGGATTATCAAATATTCAACATAAATGTATATTTGTATTTGTATCTGCATTTATTTCGATGTCTAACAAAGATTACACCTCACATGCGAAAAATGGCGGGGGTTGAGGGGTAAGCGCAATAAGGCACCGCGACCTCGGCCCAGAGCAGTAGAAGGAACAGGGGGGTTTTTAGTCAGTAATAGTCTGACACTCCCTCCCGCCCGGCCCTGGGTGGGAGAAGTCATTTGAAGATTTTCCCCTTGCAAAAAAAAAACATGCTAAAAATATAACATAAACAGATACAAATCCTTCTGTATATTCAATTATAGGAGACCACAACTTGCATTAACATATCAAACAACCAATTATTAAAGTAGATTATGTATTTATGTATAAAAAAAAAATTACGAGAAAAAAAAATATCCAACATAATCTTATTTCCCTGTAGGTTCGTCTAACAATATCTCGGTACATTCCGGGCGTGTTTGCGGAAGCGATGCGCGAGTCCAGCGCCTCGAATGCAGTACACATGTTCGATGCCCAGCACGAACACCCTGAACTCGTCTGGACTGATGACACGAGGCGAAGACTTGCCACACACATCGCGCAACTAAGAGACCGGTTAGTATTTCAAAAAATGTATTAGGTATAGTTCGTTCCATAATTAGAGACAACGATTTGACATTTCGAGTGTTGCATGTTTTGTAGTTTGACATTTGCGGTTGTCAAATTGTTGTCTCTAATTATGGAACGAACGTAGGTATTTATTTCACTACTGGCAATTCAACTTAAAATGTGCAAAGGATGGTAATTCAGAAAATGGTATAACATAAGCTTACAATAATATATATAATAATGTAATGTAATGGTAATAATATGACTATTTTATTTGCGATGAAGTCGGTTAATAAAATAAAATTGTTCGTTTCTCAAAGTAAGCAGCTTACTGGAAACTAACAAAATTATGTTCAGATGACAATTTTTTCCGTGATTCCAAACGAAATACTTATCGAGAAAACTGAATTAATTTTATTCAGTTTTCTCGGTAACTTTTATTAAAATAAGTACCAAATAGGTAATGTACTTCTAATATAATTCCCCTTTTAAAATCCCACTTCAGACACCAATCCGACCAGCTGCGTTCCCCTAACGCGACGTTCGAGGACCGCGAGACACTAGAGCGCGCTGCGTCCGGCGAGCAGGCGTGGGCGCCGCCCGGCGAGGTCGTCGTCGACGGGGTCTACCTCAAGCTGTACCTGCAGAACCCTCACTGGAACCTACGCAGTCCTAAGCGGTTCCTCCAGGAATTGCTAACGGAGACTATTGCAGCGGTCAATAAAGATGCTTCAGAGGTATGTGTTAGTTGAATATCGTTTGATCCTTGCTAAAGGCTGTTAGAGTAAATATAATTTGATAGGTAAAAACGTGGCTAATTTGAGGCAAGCCTTACTCCATTTACCATACACTACCTATCCTACTCTACCTACCGTACTCTGTGTACCCTACACTACTTACTCTTTTTTACCTACCCTACTCTACCTACCCTACTCTACCTGCCCTACTCTACCTACCCCACTCTACCTACCCTACTCTACTTACCCTTATCTATCTACCATACTCTACCTACCCCAGTCTACATACCTAGCTTACTCTACTAGCCCTACTCTACCTACCCTACTCTACCTGCCCTACTCTACCTACCCCACTCTACCTACCCTACTCTACTTACCCTTATCTATCTACCATACTCTACCTACCCCAGTCTACATACCTAGCTTACTCTACTAGCCCTATACTCTACCTACCCTACTCTACCTACCCTACTCTACTTGCCCTATTCTACCTACCCTACTCTACCTACCCTACTCTATCTACCCCACTCTACTCTACCTACCCTACTCTACCTTCCATACTCTAACTAACCTTATCTACCTCTCCTACTCTACTTGATCCTACTTCTCTACCAACGCTACTCTACCTACCCTACTCTGCCTACCCTACTCTACCTAAACTAATCTACCCCTCCTACTCTGCTTGACCTACTCTACCTAACCTAATCTTCCTCTCCTACTCTACTTGACCTACTCTACCTTCCCTACTCTAAAACCTACTCTACCAACTCTCAAACCTACTCTACCAACCCTACTCTATCTAACCTAATCTACCTCTTCTACTCTACTTGACCTACTCTACCTTCCCTACTCTATCAAACCTACTCTACCAACCCTACTCTACCTACCCTACTCTACCTACCCTACTCTACCTAACCTAATCTACCTCTCCTACTCTACTTGCCTTACTTTACCTTCCCTACTCTACCAACCCTACTCTACCAACGCTAGTTTACCTTCCTTACTCTACCAACCCTACTCTACCTTCCCTACTCTACGAACCATACTCTACCTCCCCTACTTTACCTACCACTCTACTCTACTTGCCCTACTCAACCTACCTCGGCTCCAGGACGACAGCACAAAACCAATCCAATTGCAGAAAGACGTAATTTCTCCTAAACTGCTTACGAAGTTTACGAACGCATTGGAGGACGTTTTCAAGCTCTTGAACTGGAGTGGCTTTGGCATCAATATTAATGGCGAATACATAACTCACCTGCGCTTCGCCGATGATATAGTCGTTTTGGCAGAGTCGTTGGAGGACCTGAACACCATGCTCATCGACCTTGATGTCGTTTCCCAACAGGTGGGTCTGAAAATGAACATGGACAAGACGAAAATCATGTCTAATGTCCATGTTGCACCTGTACCGGTCATCGTTGGGAACGACATCCTTGAAGTTGTTGACCATTACACATACCTTGGTCAAATCATTCAGCTAGTCCAACTTCGAGAAAGAGGTCGCCCGAAGAATCCAACTCGGATGGGCGGCGTTCGGGAAGTTACACGATGTCTTCTCATCAAAAATCCCACAGTGCCTGAAGACCAGGATGTTTAACCAGTGTGTGTTGTCGGTGATGACGTATGGCACTGAGACGGGGTCCTTAACTTCTCGCCTTCTTGCTAAACTCAGCGTCGCTCAGCGCGCGATGGAGCGGGATATGCTCGGGGTCTCTTTGCGCGACAAAATCCGAAATGTGGAAATTCTCCAAAGAACCAAAGTCACCGACATAGCTCGTTAAATCTGCAGGCTAAAGTGGCAATGGGCAGGCCACGTCGCTCAAAAGACGGACGGTCGATGGGCCCGAAAAGTGCTAGAGTGGCGACCAAGGACCGGAAAGCGTAGTGTGGGCAGGCCTTCCGCTAGGTGGACCGACGACATCGTCAGAGTCGCGGGGAGCCAATGGATGCAGGTGGCAACTTGTCGCTCGACGTGGAGAGCTAAGGGGGAGGCCTTTGTCCAGCAGTGGACGTCTTCCGGCTGATGATGATGGTTATTTTGGTGTGGTGTTCGTTTGTATTTTGTATTGACGAGGTGCAGACCTCGTGTAACGTTTATGTCCCGAGTAAGTAAGTAACACTTAGTAAGTGGTGGAACGTAATGTTTATGTATCCCTTGTTGCGCATGCAGGGTGGTCGCGGGGAGACGTGTGCGCTGGCGCTGTGCGCGGCACTGCGCGCGCGGCCGGCGCTGGGCGAGGTGTGCGCCCAGCTGGGGGAGGTGCCGCGCCTGGCGCGCCTGCTGCCGCGCGCGCCCCGCCTCGCCGCGCCGCTACTCGCCGCGCTCGCGCCCACACAGGTACTGTACTCATATTGCGCTGGGCGAGGTGTGCGCCCAGCTGGGGGAGGTGCCGCGCCTGGCGCGCCTGCTGCCGCGCGCGCCCCGCCTCGCCGCGCCGCTACTCGCCGCGCTCGCGCCCACACAGGTACTGTACTCATATTGCGCTGGGCGAGGTGTGCGCCCAGCTGGGGGAGGTGCCGCGCCTGGCGCGCCTGCTGCCGCGCGCGCCCCGCCTCGCCGCGCCGCTACTCGCCGCGCTCGCGCCCACACAGGTACTGTACTCATATTGCGCTGGGCGAGGTGTGCGCCCAGCTGGGGGAGGTGCCGCGCCTGGCGCGCCTGCTGCCGCGCGCGCCCCGCCTCGCCGCGCCGCTACTCGCCGCGCTCGCGCCCACACAGGTACTGTACTCATATTGCGCTGGGCGAGGTGTGCGCCCAGCTGGGGGAGGTGCCGCGCCTGGCGCGCCTGCTGCCGCGCGCGCCCCGCCTCGCCGCGCCGCTACTCGCCGCGCTCGCGCCCACACAGGTACTGTACTCATATTGCGCTGGGCGAGGTGTGCGCCCAGCTGGGGGACAATTTTCTGATCTTGTTTTCCTCCTGCGTCATCACCCAGGTTTGTATAATATGCAGTTACTTTTTCTTCTTCTTCTTCTTCAAAAATCTTTGCCTCACATTAAGATTTTCATTTACTTCGTAAGTGCGTTTACAAACATTGACATTGATATGATGCCAAGACTGAACGACAATTTGTTGTTCCCATAAAAAGTGGTCCCGTGCTAGAATCTTATCTATGACATGCTGGCCGACAACTAGTTGCACTGCACAAGGCAATCAAGACTGTTGATTGATCCTACCAATAGTTTCGCTATTTAAAAGCTAAATGTATTACTGACAAAAACTTTTATATTTCACCTCCATCAAAGAAAATGTTTGGGTTGATATCATTCTATCAATTATTTCATACATTTATAAATCATTCGTTGTGTCGTTTTTAAATCATCTTTATTATCTTTTATACAAATATATTTATTCTTTCTTATTTTTCTTATTCTCCAGGCATGTGTAGTGGCCCTGTCGCAGACGGACGTGATGTCGGGCATAAAGACGGCGGTGCAGTCGTGCAGGGAGGCGGTGGGCTCGGCCTGCGAGGCGCTCGCACTCATATTCTCCAGCAACGCCAATACTGACCGACTGGTCTTACAGGTCACTTACATTTTTATGTTTTTAACCATGTAGTTTCAATAACTTCCAAAGTCAAAATTACTTAACAACATTTTTTAATTTGTTCTATGTAAAGTTTCCTTTTTAATTTACCCGGAGTTAAAGCGCACGCTTTTCAAGTAGGTACCAATGTGACTTTTACAGAGTTACGTGTATTTTTCTATGATTATTTAGACACCCATGACTTATGGTGAAGGAAAACTTCGCGAGAAAACCTGAACTTAAATATGTAAATATAAGTTCGAAATGGCTAATCCGCCTTGAGCAAGAATGGTGGTTAATGGTCAAACCTTCTCCGTATTAGAAGAGATCTTTGCTCAATAGTAGTTATTTATAGGCAGATGATGTGATTGATGAATATTAATCTTTATATAAATATCACCAGGCACTAGAAACAGATCTAATAGGCGAGCTGCTGTCCCTGCTGGAGAGCCGGCTGGACGGCGCGACGGCGGCGCAGCTGGTGCGGGCGCTGAAGGCGATGGCGCGGTCTGCGCTGCACGGCGAGCGCGTGCGCGCCCTGCTCGCGCGCTCCGCCGTCTGGGAGCACTACAGCGCGCAGCGACACGACCTCTTCATCACCGCCGCGCCGCAGAATAACTTACTCACAGGTACCATTGCTATTTTATAATTATACATGTTCCTCCGAGACACATTTATTCAATAGTATTTTACGGGATTATGGCGAGTAAGCAAAAAGAAAATCAATAAAAAAAATAAAATGGTATAGAATTGGTGATTGGCCGGCGACACAAAACCATAGTCGTGGCCTACGCGATACATACATACATACATACATACATGAGAAACATAAATTTAGCGAACAATCTATAAAACCATAAGCGCAGGCGCAGCAACCAAAATTTGTTACAAGTACGGAATTACGGTCAACGTTTCCATATATTACCAAGACGAACGTTCCAAATCAACGATTCCAACCGACTCTCTATATCTAAATTGCGGGTACACCTTGGAGATTATTTAATTTAATTATCCAAGATATTCCGAATTACCCAGATTATGATTAATATTGTATAAAAACAATCTTCATAATCATTTATCAAGAACATCGTGCTTCCTCTGCAGGCGCCCCTCACACGGCGGGCTACCTGACGGCGCCGCCGTCCAGTATCCCGGCGCAGCCGCCCCCCATCGACTGACCACGCAGCCCCGCGCTACACAGTACTGCCAGTACTCGCCCCCGCCTCAATACAAACACACGCATGTTTCTGAAAGAACAATATTGCTGATCAACCGACTAACGCTCTAGTAAGTGTACTATAGAATCTCTCATTACTGAAAAACTACTCTTTTACATCGAACATTCTAAAAAACTTCATTTGTAAAAAATAAAAGTAGTTTGGAGTTTTTACCTGCTATATAGAATGAAAAATGTTTCATATTATACAGTAAAATAGTTCAGCCGTACGCGCCTTTCAGAAACAAGTAGTTATAGCGAATTTGTCTTGGCGTACTCCGCGACCTGTCGCTATAATTTCAGTGTCGGATACCGTAACATTTATATGTATTATAGCAATACTTCTATAATGCGCTTAAAGTTCAAATTCGTGTGAATTTCGTTTAGCCATCGAATGTAGTACTAACAAGGCAAATTCAATTGTACTTATGTAAAAATAGTTAAGCTGCTGGTCTTTTATTTCGTAAGCGGTTCGTCGATGTCTCATTGTAAATTAAAAGTATACTATATGAACACAATATCCGACCAGTGTGTGGTACGCTCGAAGTATTAACAGCCAAAGTTATGTGTATGTATTTCTGTTGTTTGTCTAAAATAGAATTTGTATAAAAGTTTGATCTCTAACGAAAGGCAAATATTGTTTACATCATTCCTAATAACGTTAGCGACATAAGATTTTTATAGGATTCGCACTTTTTTATGAATGTAGATTAGTGAATATTATGGAAGAAATCGCACTTATATAGTGCTAAACAAATAATTATTGTTTGCTTATAAATATTAATGATACTCTTTATTGCCGGCGATTTTTATGTACCAATGATAATTGTGATTTTATAGCAATATTAACTTAGCAATTGCAATAATTTGTCATATTACCACGTGATATAATATATGTCGATTTCCTGGTTTCCGCATTAACACAAATCGTCTAGCGAAATTAATGTATGATATTCATGTCAATAACGTAATAAATTTCGCACTTTTTTACGAAAATAGTATTTAAATATTTATATATTTGTATGTACCTAATAGTCTGTGCGTTCATGACATAGTGCACTAGTACAGTTTTTATATGTGTATCCGCTACATATAAAAGCTTTCTTGCCATGTTTAGTTGTTGTATTGAGACTGAAAATCAATTAATAAATCATTTCAATTTCGGCACTAAAAATTTAGGTATACGAAGTCTCTGAGGCTTTTGGTGTAACAACATTTTTTTTCGGATTATTATAAAAATTATTATTACCATTTATTTCATGTATTTTATACTTTTTTCGATTATCTGTTGTAAGAAAAATACCTTCTTTTATTTGATTTATTAAATATTAGATGAAAACAAGCTTTGTAACTGATCAATAAGTAAACTATATTTAGCTTTTACAAATTAAAGTTATGTGTTTACATCAAAATTATGTGTGATATTGTAAAGGAAATTATAATGTTTGGTTTAGTCATATCATAGAGTTTTAAGGCGTTTATACTTTATGGAAATTATGATACTCTTATGTTCGCTCATCGAGTACGTCCTAATATATATGTATTATAGTTATATAGTATGAGTGAGTACCAACTACTGCGATATGTTGATAGCTAACATACGCTGGTATATAATTTTTAATATTATGGTTTGTTTGTTTGCTTCTGTACAAAGCTTTACCGTTTTATTTTTCTAATGTGCCAGTAGTTTTAATAGTCGATAAATTGTGATAGTTGGTACATCACTAGTATCGATAATAAAGGAATGTGATTGGTCGTGATGTTTGTGCGACTGTATTTATTACTTTTCTACAGTGTAATATCAAAATAAAATATACAAAAGTGTTGGCAAGCTTTAAGTGTGTGGGTACAGCGCACACGCATCACGAATGGATATATCGAAGGGCACCATGATGGAAAAGCGAGGTGTGATCATATGGATATTTTTATATCTAGAGATAAGTTATATTGCTGTAAAATATACGAAGTTAATATATCAATCTATTCAGTGTTTTTTTAATTCGGTGATTCTCCTAATGTGCTTTTTTGGCCAGTTAATCGTCACAAACATCGTTCAACTAAAATATATTAAAAAAAACACGATAGTGGCCTTTGACTGCCGACAGAAAACTATTGAAGGCAAATCCTCCTCTACCGTAAATTACTGGTTACCTACATGTCGGCTTACATGTTAAGTATTCTAGACTACAGCGAAGACTAACTTGTTTCGCCCAGAAAATCGGTGAAAAATGAAAATGTTTCCTATAATCAGGCAAAGGACCCTAAACTTCTTACGTTTTTACTTTTCTAAGAACCAAGTTCGCAGTTCATTATATCGAATAGGTTAGGTTTGGACATCTTTATATATAAAAATGGATCGCAAAATGTGTTGGTAAGCGCATAACTCAACAACGCCTGAACCAATTTTGCTAATTCTTTTTTTGTTGTGTTTGTTATTGTCAGGAGAAGGTTTTTATTAAAGAAAATATTAGAAAAGTAGAGGGGAAAATTGGGAAAATGTGACCCCTTGATAGCGAGATAGTTGGACCCATGCGAAGCGGGGGAAAGCCGCTAATTTAAAATAAAAACAAGTTTCAGTTCACATTTTTAATGTGTTCTATCAGTGCTTTATCTAATTTATTGCTAATCTTACGTTTTATTTAAGTACAAAAATCAATACTTATTTACAAAATTACTTCTTATATAGCTTAACATTATTCTTACGAAGAATCTTTACAAGAACAATACTTTTAGTTACAAAATGTATAAAATAATTTGTACATTATACCTACTTATTTTTAAACACACAATTTAGCTAATTTATTCTAGATTTCTTAATAAATTCGTAAAATGAATCTTGTATTTAAGAGTTGAACTTATAGTCCAATTTAGTTGACATATAACAAATAAAAATGTATTGCTTATATTTCTATATTGTCATGGTAATCTTTATGAAAGAGAAGCTCTTCGCGAATTTAGGTTTCAAAAACAACTTTATTATTTAATACTTAAAATTCTAAATGTTTCAACTTCAACTTCTAAGTTATATACAACTAACTCTGACACAAACAATGTTAAATTCAAAATCATTTTCGTATTATACATACATATATATGTCACAGCCAATCTGGAATGGTAGGTAAGTTACCATTGCTACCAGAATGACATTGAACGACGATATAATTGATTTTGCAGGCTAAGCCGTTTATGGAAGGCAGTTTGCTGCGACAGATACATACATATATACTAAAACTCTCTCCCTCCCTAAGCATTGTATAAGTATCTTTAATTATTAATTATTTAAAATACTTACAAATAAAATTTAAAACTACAGTTATGTATCACAGCACAACACAGCAAGTAAACACATTATGTTATGTACAGATCATATCTTAAAATACATTTCATAAACAAAAACATATATTTTTTTATATATTTATCACATCATAGCCCTCAATTATCATAGATTCAAACAATGGATTGAAAAAGAGATTTAAAACACATTTAAATTATAAAATTTATTAAAAACTGTTTTTTTAGAAGTCGTGCACTTGCTAAAGCAGTGCGAATTAGCCATACATTATCACGATCGACACGTTATGACGTTCGGCGTTGTGATTGGCTTGTTCTAAATCTACCAACCAATCACAGGGCTAAACGTGGCAACGTTTCAATCGCGTAAACGTTAACCAAACTTGCACTAGGCACTCTGTATACCTACATTTTACTTTTCATATTTCTGAGGGTATAGTATAATGATAATGTATAATTATATTAATTATAGTTAACTATGGATAGGATTGGCACGAGACTTTCAAGCGTTTGAATAGGAGATAGATGTCTCATTAAGTACACAGTTTAAAGTATTATGTTAACTTTGCGAGATTACCGGGTATTCGTTTTCAGGTATTGAGAGCAGGTCAGGAGGCGGGCTGCGTGCTGAATGAGTCTGGCGGCGAGGTGTAGTGGTTGCTTTGCGGCGCTTTCAGCGGACGCTCGTACGTTTCGCCACGGGACCATGCGCGCTTGCCTCTGTATTTTATTAACAAACATTTATAAGTCTTTCAACACATTATTAATTTCGATATATGTATAGTTAGAAGTAGTAGTAGTAGTAGTAGTTTGGTTAACGGAATAAATAGTTAGGCACTCTCATTGAGTATTATGTAGAGGTTATCATTCTTGCAATATCTAGATGTCGCCACTGTAGAGTATGGGACTGTCATTTTAATTACTATTAAATAATACCTTGCTAATGGGCATTATTAGACAACACGTAGTAAGTTCAGAGAACTCACCGCGGCCTCACAAAAACACCGGCGTGAAACAACGACACCATTGTGTTTCGCCGTATAAGTGTGGTTACCGGAGGCCCAATCCCTCTCCCTCCCCCCATCTCCCAATCCTTAAATATCCAAAACTCTTATCCTTAAAAGGGCGGTAACGCACTCGTTACTCCTTTGGTGTCCTTGGGCGGCGCTAATTGCTTACCATCAGGTAATCGGTCATCAGCTCGATTGCCGACCTATACCATAAAAAAACCACGCGTTATTGTACCCAAGCGACATATTTCATTACCTTGGTCCAGTTAAAAAACTCTAGACTTCTAGGTAATTAGGACTTACCTCATAAGCATTTTAATGTACCGATGATGTTTGGGCGTGGGCGGTGCGTCGTCTGCATCAATCTCTAGCGACAGGTACTGGTTGGCGCACGCACTGTTCAGTAGCTCGTCGAGGCGATGGTGCAGGTCCGCGAAGGTCGGCCTGTCGCGGGGGTGCGTGCGCCAGCACGATAGCATTATGTCATACCTGTTGTTGACATTTGAAAAGGTAAGTGTTAAAATACAGGTAATTTCGTTGAGATTTTTTTTCTCTCCGGGTAAAGTTACTGCTCTAAGAGAAGGTTTAAGAGACCTCTGAGTTTGTTTCGGCATTTCTTCTCAGAGTACTCAGATAGGAAACGCCGGCTTCATCAAGTTTGCAAAAATAAATTCATTGTTTCTACATAATTATATCGGATTGTTTGAAAGTATAGGTATCTTCAGCTTCTTTGCATGTAACGCTCACATTAAAACTAAGGTGCTTACTAGTGGTAGATAATGACTCGATCCCTGGTGATCCGGGGCAGCTGAAGAGCCTAGCCATATCGTTAAGGCTTTTATTTTCGATAAATTCAAATACTGTCTCTATTCAGTTAATACTACTTTATTAAGCGATTAGGTACCTACCACCTTAATCAATATAATGTAGTCTTCTCAATTCATAATACTTAGTTGTATTGTAACTAACACATGAAAAAACTGTTATATGATAAGAGTGTACTTACAGCTGCGGACTGCAGTTATTAGGTTTGGGCATGCGGTACCCTGCCCGCAGCAGTCGCGGCAGCCGCGCGGCCGGCACTGCGGCGTATGGAGAGCCGCCCACCGTCGCCACCTCCCATACCACCACGCCGAACGACCAGCTATAAGGGACACGTACAAATTATATTGGTAAGAGTTACGTTTTATCTACATAAAATATTCGTATGCTGCGACGAACTTCGATCTTGGAGTATCAAACATGACTTTTGCTAGAGAAGACCTTTTTGGGTTTAAGTTTTCTTCAGGCGGTAATTTTGAACTCAGAAGACTAAGCTTTATACACATTTTTTATGTGGTAGGACGCAAACAATCAGGCGGATTACCTGATGGTAAGTAATTGGTTCCCCTCATTTACACCGACAACCCCAAAGGAATTACGAGCGTTCCGGGCCTTTTAGGGATAAGGGTTCCGGATATTTAAGGATTGGGAAGGGATGGGGGAGGCGGAGGGATTGGACCTCCATCAACTCACTCAGCACGGCGAAACACAACGATGTGGTTGTTTCAAGCCGGTTTTCTGTGAGGCCGTGGTATCACTCCGGCCGAGCCGACTCATTCATGCCGAAGCTTGGCTCGCCATTTCAGCAATAATCCTACATATGCCATAATCCGACTAATACTCACACATCGCTCTGCGTAGTGTATATCCGTCGCGTCAATGACTCTAAAGCCATCCACCGAATGGGCATCTTTCCGTTACCCTTCTGTTTGTACTGGTTCTCTTCGTAGACATCCCTTGAAAGACCAAAGTCTGCTATTTTCAAAGTCCTGTCTGCTGTCACCAGAATGTTTCTGGCGGCTAAATCTCTGTGGACCACTCTGTTGGCAGCTAGGAACTCCATCCCCATTGCTATTTGTCGGCAGAAAGAGAGAAGGTCTAAAGCAGTGAGTTCCTTGTCACAGATCTCTTGCAGTTCATACAGCTTGTTGACAACCAGCTTAGAGCTCTCCATCTGCGCTTTGCATTTGAACAAGTCGTTCCTGTAGTCCGAAACGTCTATGTTGTTGTTGTAGTATTTGGCGTTACGTTTGGACAGCATAACGTCCCATGTGCACCTGGAATTTATTTGGCAATCTTTAGTCTTTAGTCCATACAAATGAAAGTTGTGTTAGTTACACTATTTATCATGAACGGCTGAACCGATTTCCTTAAGAATTGGTAGGGATGTAGTTTAAATCCAGAAGATGAACATGCTTTGGCTAGGGTAGCGTAGGTAGGGTAGGGTAGGTAGAGAAGGATAGGTAGTTTTATCTTTTTACTTCAAATAAACTTCTAACCTATGGATAATCTCCATCTAATATCGAAGAACGGTCCTCGTACCTTAAGTAACTGAGCAAGTCCCCCCGACTGCAGTACTCCGCAATAATGAGCGGCCTCCTCCCGGTGCAACAACCGACCAAGCTCACAAGGTGCGGGTGCACGCCCACGCTCTTCATCAGCTCCATCTCTGAACGAAATGATCTGATTTCCTCCAGCGATGGGAAATCTATTACGGAAAGACGAAAAAAAAAAATAGAACTTCAACTGACTTTTTTCTAGTGAACTAGTTTTTCGCCGCGAAAAAATAAAAATTGGATCTGATTTTTTGGTTTATATGGTATACTTAGGTACATTGGGTGATTGGTACAATGGTAATTTGTTCACCATTTCCACCAAAGGTACCAATCCACCAAAGGTAGATTAACCATTAAGCATTGGTTAATTAGAGTTTTTATATATTTTCGGTATTTTATTTTTTAATATTGTCCAGATTTTTTTGGATTTTTTAGATTTATTTACTTAGGTAAGTATGGTGATTGGTATGATGGTAATTGGTTATGTTTTATCAGTTTTACCTTTAAGCATTTTAACAGCGACGAGCAAGGAGTGCGGCGCGAGCGTGGCCCTGCGTACGACACCGAATGCTCCTTCTCCAATGACTTCGTGTAACACGAGCTTGTCTGCCCGCACTTCCCACCGGTCTTCTGTCTCGCTCCATACTTCTAGCACATCTGTGTCGCCTTCTTTCAAAGGTTTGTCGTCCTGCTGAGGCCGTTTATTGGGGTTATTAGATTATGTAATTAGTTTATAAGCTTACTAATGATAAATAAGTATCATTTGGAAGGTATTTGGAGAAGAATAAAGTTCAGATAGGGTGGTAAATGCAATCGTTTTTCTCTGTTGATCCGTGAGCATCAACATCAACGCATTAACCTGTCAATCGTTCTAATTCGAGACACAATAAAAGTCAATAGCTGCGCGAAAAGAAGAACAATAAGCGCGATAGGTTCGCATTCGCTTGAGGTTTGATGAATTAAACAACGTAGAGAGGATTTTACTGTAGGGTTTTTATTGAGTAAAGGTTTAAGTTACCGGTTTGTAAGACGGCACAGGCAAGTGGTCCCTGCGACGGCGACAGCGGCAGAGCAGCGCCAGCGCGGCGGCCGCAGCGCAGCCCGCGCCCACGGCCGCGACGCCCGCCCCGCCCGCCTGATCCTCGTCGCGCGCCGCGTCCTCCGCAGTGTCTGGCCACGTGCAACACTATACCACGTTATTCTCATTCTATTACAACTTATATTCATTAACTGGGCAATTGCTGGGAAGCGGCCAAGACCGTGAACAGTGGCTTCCTTTTTTAGTGGTATAAAAATCAAATAAAAACGAGTAGACCTATTAGCAGTTGGTAAGCTATCGGCGCCGTCCATGGACACCCGCTACATCAAAGGAGTTACGAGCGTTTTGCCGGCCTTTTGGGGATAAGGGTTGCGGATATTTAAGGATTGGGGAGGATTATTCTCGCCGTTTTTCTATGAGGCCGTGGTATTTACTCCGGTCGAGCCGACCGTAGTAATACCACTTCGTGATGAAGCTTGGCCCTCCCACGATTAAACTTCCTCTCTTATTGGAAGCCATGAATCATTCTAAAGCACTGAGCTGGTAGACTGAAGTCTGTTAGTTCATGTTAATAAGCTACTGTATGTTACCATTGTTCATGCTGTGCAGAGTAACTAACGATGTGCTTTTGGTGTTTCAGCTTGGCTGATTGTAGTATAAGGACTTAATTATTTTCTTAGAAATGACGGTTCTTGTGTCTTTCGTCTATTATTTAGTTAATGTTAATCTAGTATATACATATGTGCGTATGCGTGTTTGCATGTCTCCATTTAATGGGCTGTAGCTCGCTACAGATACGGATAAAACCATAAGCTTTTGTTAATTATATCAATACAGATTATAAATATTTGACTATAAGTGACTCATCTGTTTCAGTGTTTAATAACTTGCATTCTGAGAATTAGTCTTTTTGTTTTTTTTTATGTAATAGGCAAACAAGCAGACGCGCGATGGCGCTGATTGCTTACCATCAGGAAATACACCTGATGGTAACAAATCAGCGCCGCCCATGGACACCCGCAGCAGAGGAGTTACGAGTGCGTTGCCGACCTTTTGGGGATTAGGGATTTGGACATTTAGGGATTGGGAAGGGGAAGGATTGGGCATCCGATAACTTCACTCACACGGCGAAACACAACGCTGTGGTTGTTTCAAGCCGGGTTCATGGTCGAGCCGACACATGCGTGTCGAAGCATGGCTCTCCCAGACTTTCATTTACTTTTTGGTCTTTAGTAAGTTCAATATACTTAAGTTTTCAGTTTATCATTTTTATTTTAAGAAATTTTTATTCTTATTTAGTATAACTTTTTGTTTTGCCTACCTACTGTCGTTGTTGTAATTGATATTTGTTGGCGGGTCTCTATTTGGTGGATCTTTATTTATGGGTAAGTAAATGTGAGGCATATTTTTTGCCTTTGGAAACTTCCTAAAGTGTTCATGTACCTACAAGTACCATTGGTAGGAGGAGTGCTTTGTAAGTCTTCCTTGTTAATATGTGTGTGATATAGAGGGTACGAAAAATGCGTTCAAGTCAGTGGTGATAATTTATTTCATAATTAACACGTGTAGGTTGGAAAGAAAAAGGCAGACGAGGGGATTGTATGTTTGAATTTATTAATTTACTAAGGCTTCTTCTGTGTTGCAGCTATGGTCCTGATACTCTAAGACTTAGAGTCTAAGAAGATGAAGGGACAGTGTTTCTTTGAGGTTCTGTTCGAAGTGTCTATCAGCATTTGTGAAGTGTTTTAGTGGTAAACAAGTGACCACGGAAGAAGTATGGTAACTTTTTTTACCATACACCCAGTACACTAAAGTGATGTCGTTTGTCGCTGTTCAATGTTCATGCTGGTCATTGTTCTTCATCGTCGACGGTGTACTGCAGAGTGAACTTACCAAGGAACTGTGCTGCCCTGCTGGTGGTGGCTGTCTTGTTGCCCAGCTTAGACTTGATTTCCACGTTGAAAAACCCCCACTTCTTGTTACTTGTAACGTTTCTAAACACCGTTTCTGTCGCATCCTGTAAATGGGATTGAAGATAGTTTTAAATAGATAGATACTTACAATCTGAAGATTGCTCTATTAGCCACGTTCTCCACTCTACAATACATCTAACCTAACAGGCAACGCCAGTTCTTTATACTGTGAGTTTCCTTAAATATTTAATTTAAAGGGAGGAGTGCTTTTTTGTGAGGGGAAAACATCAAATAACTTCTCCCGCACATGGTGGGGCGGGAGGGAGTGTCACACTCTTACTGACTAAAAACCCCTCGTTCCTTCCCCTGCTCTAGGCAGAGTCGTCGCGGTGCCTCAGTGCGCTTGCCCCGAAACTTTAAAGGAATGATTGCTAAGACTTTAGTAATTAATTCTTGCATTTGCTCAATTTAATGCATGTTACTTCAAACAGCGTATTTACATAATTAACATTCCTTCTTGTATGTAAAGTTTAGTAGGTAAACTAACCCCAGGTAATGTGAGTATCTGAGTTTCCTCGCCGTCGATGATCAGGGTCACGCGGTAGGAGTCAGGGAGAAGATCTGGCTTGGCCCAGCTCACGTGCACCTCCCAGCTGTCGAACAAGTCTTCTATCGCTGCTATTGTGATGTTGCCTGGCATTTCTGGCTCGATCTCAGCTGGTAAACAAAATACGTATTGTTTTTAAAAAAAACGTTGCCCCACTTTAGGATTTTCTCCTGTGTTGTGGGTGCGTTTACAAACATACAATGTCACATACACATGACACCCAGACCCGAAACAACAATTTGTGGATCACACAAAGTGTTGTTCTGTGCGGGAATCGAACCCGCGACACGTTGCACGGCAGCCAGTTGCCCAACCACCGCACCAACCGTGCAGTCAAAACATATAACATATAAACGTATAAAACAACGTTGTGTTTAACCTTGTGAGTGAGATTACCAGAGGTCCAATTCTTCCCCTCCCCCAATCCCTAAATCTCCAAATCCCTAATCCCCAAAAAGGTCGGCAACGCACTCGTAACTTCTCTGTTGTTGCGTGTGTCCATGGACGGCGCCGATTGCTTATTTATCATCAGGTAATCCATATGCTTTTCTACCGATAATCACATAAAAAAAAGGAAAGGAAAGAAGAGGAATACATGTACTTATATACTAACTAAATTTTTAGTAAGTATCTAAACATTTTAGTTAGTATCTAACCTCTATTAGAGGAAATACGAGTACGTGACAATTTTGGTGATTAGGGTTTCGGAGATTTAGGGTTTGAGGAAGGATGGGGGTGCTGAAGGGCCTCAGGTAGGACACACACTACGGCTTTTCTTCTTCGTTCCCACCCTTGAGATTTGCACAAGCTGTTCAGTTGCCGAAAGTTTAGCTTGAAGTAAATGTTGACCTTGCTGCCCTTTCTACAGATAATGACTTTATAAGGTACTTACGAGGCACACAGTTGTCCTGATAGCAGGAGGGCGTTCGATATGTCAATTTAGTGGTTCCGTACAAGCCTATAACATGTATGATGCAATCATCTTCCACAGGCAGCTTGTCAAACACCACATACGGCTCTTTACTGTTGTTGGGCTGCAATTAATACTTATAAGACTTTTCTGTTTGAAAATTCGAAAACTTTAATCAAATTACAAAGCTTTCTTATTTAAAATATTATTTAATTAGCATTCATAGTATAAAACAACTTTCTCTGTCCCTATATCGCTATACATAACCCTAACTACACAACGGATGTTAATTTATTTATTAAGATATACAACATTACAGCTTACGCCATTAGGTTGTATTGTTAATTTTATATAAATACTATTATCTAGGTACTTTAAAAAAACTAATTAGGATTAAATACCAGAAAAACAATACAAATTTAAAAAACAAAATAAAAGTACTTAATACAGCCGAATGACAAGATTGGTGATCATAGTAATCTTAAACTAAAAAAAAAACATTATAGTTGATTTCTTTTTTTAATAGAGTGATAAGAGATGAAAGTTTATGCGTAATAATAAACAATATTAATGCGAAGCCGAGGCGGGTTGCTAAGTATTTTATAGTAGAGCTAAATGTCCACGGACTCATGTCCGTGCCCATGTCGAAATGTCCCAATTTTGGTTTCCTTACTAGTCATACCCGGGGAACAGATGTTTTCGACTTTTGTGTCGAAGTTTTAAAGATTAATTTTAGGTACATCTATCTGTAAAATTAACGGTAGCTACGGGTACAGATTTTCGTATACTTCTTCTATACAAAAAGTTCTTTTCTTGAAAGATTTCTCCACATTATTTTTTCATTGATGCATTCATAAGTAGGTATAACTCACCCAAACTTTTTTGTGTACCAAGTGGGACTTCTCGCAAGAGTTCACAACGTCGAAGCATACGTCAGCATCTGCAAAAGCAAGTGTTTTTTTATATTTTCCTTCAAATTAATCCATTTCAACGACATTCCAAATACCTAGTTTGAATACGGATTTTAGGAACATTTGCAAAAAGCAAATAAAAAAACATATTGTCAATATCGGCATAATTATACTGTCACTTTCGTATGGGATTGTGAGGTATGATGTGACGTCATCCGTTATACGTCAAATGGCATTTACTTATCTATGTCTTGAAAATAATCCATTGAATATAAGAATATATCGTAAAACCAATGAATGAAAAAGTGATAGTTTTTAATTAAAATACGCATTTCAAAATCGAAATAATTTCTTTGCTTATTTAGTGAAGTAATTGTTGTTATGTAAACAGTACCTATATTTAACTTCTTACCTCCATTCGTGTTCCACGTAAACCTGCCATCAAGAACCGAAGGGTCCTCATTAGGATGGAAGTCCTTTTTGATTTCATACGTTTTATTTACTTGAACTACGTCATGCCGTGGAAACGTTTCACCTCTCCGCCACATTATAGGTGATCCCTCCTTGAGTTCCGTACTCCATAGCGTGTAGTTAACCTGAGGAGTTACTGCAATTTCTTCGAATTCACTCCAAGGTTCTATAATACTGTGTTTTATCTGTAACAATTAAATACTAATTAAGAATGATTTTGATCTTAATCTCAGTCCATACACTACATACTTATTTCGAGTTCCGAGTAATTTCTGAAAAGTAAAACAGATTATACATTGGTTCTATAGTTCTATGGATCATATTGTTTTCCCGAGTCATTAGTTATAATTTTAAAAAGGAAAACAGTTTGTTTACGAAAACAGGCTCTTGTAAGTAGGTACCTATTTAAATGCTGTTAGAGTTCAAGATTCATTTAAGGTCGTTACATTATTTTTTCCCGTGGCCGGAGTTCATGAGTTTTACTTCTTTTCCTGGAGATAACGGTTCTTTCGTTGATATAAATAGAACAGTATGGACGTTTATTAAATCACTTTCCCGCCCGCTTGTTTTGTTATCTGCGAAACCCGCATTGACGTGCGAGTGCGGATAAATTGAATGAATTCAGTTATTGTTACAGAAGTATGACGAATTATAAGTAGCTATGGAAGATCCTTAGTCATTTTAGCTAACTTATACCTTTATCTCTTTCAAAATTGCAAGCTGACTGTATCAAAGAGATTAAGCAGCTAAAGGTAAAGATAGAAAAAATGCCATGGTACTTAAAATAATTTGAAGTATGTAGGTTATATTTAATAATACCGGGAAGAATCGTGCCCAAAGGCGCTATAGCTAGACTGATTAAAAACGCAACAGGTGGTACTGAACTGTACGACTTGAAGTTCGTAGGAACCACAAATGGGACATTAGCAAATGTAATTAAAACTTCACGTTCATAGTTAACAGGCACATAAGGGTCCCATAGTGTGAATTCAATGATGTCATGTGCGAAAAATCCCTTCGTAAGCGTTGGTAGTAAAATCTTTGTTGTATCAAATACATATGACTATTAAAAACAACTGTATCAACATCGTCATCACAAACAATAATTTCATACTACAATTTGTTTTTCCTCTCCCTTGTTGTAAGGCTAGTGTGAGTTTTTTTTTGTCGTGTAGTGCCTTGTGACACATAAGAGGAGTGCGGATTTTCCGCGTGTTGAACATTTTCCATTGATGTCGTGTCAGACTGTTAATGGCCTAAAAACCACCCCGTTCTTTCTTCTGGATGATAGTCTTGGCCGCGGTTCATCATTGTGCTTTGTTTTTATTGAGGATTGAAAACATCATATAACTTCTAGTGCCCTAGCAGGGACGAGAGGGAGTATCGGACTCTTAATGACTATAAATCACCCCATTCCTTCTTTTGCTTCGGGCCAAGGCCACGGTTCATTCATTCTGGAGGATAGCAAGCTATTCTTTATATAAAGTATGTATAACTAAGTACTTACATAAATACTGGCATTGTTAGGATCTGGCACTAACGCCACAAGCTGGAAGTTCTCTGAAGGTTCTATTTGGAACCAAATGCTTTCGTTTCTCCAACATCGTATCCTGACGTGTGGTGATAATTGTGGCATGCTTTGTTCTGGTGCTAGGAAAGAAAAACGATAGCTATAAGATTTGTTTTACAAAACATAATATGTCACCACATTATTATCTCGAGTTCTAAATGCTCAATTCAGACCTCGAAATAATAATAGGTAGGTATGTGGTGCAGCTACTATATATTGCAGCGTCATTTTTGGCAAGCTCTCCTTCCTGGAAATAATGTCGTAATTGAACAGTTTAATGTATGGGATACCTCTGGTGTTTCAACTGTAAGTAGTAGGGATACTGACCATCAGGCAGGTTAAAGAAGGCGCCAAAATATTGTGTATAAACAAACATAGTCTATTATTTAGAAAACTCTGGAATTAGAAACCCGTAAATCATTTTAATTGAGGGGTCTCGATAATAGCAAATATTAAGCGGTTGTTGCTTGCGAACTCTCGACGAATGGCCAAGTTTTATGGTTTTAAAAATTCAAATGTATAGAGGTATTTTCGATACTTACCCCAGTAGCTTTCCAAGCACGAGTCTATTGTCTGAAACAAACAAAAATAGGAACAGATTTGAAAACAAGAAAAAATCTGCCGTTTACTTGCATGGCTGGGTAAACGACCTCTTTTACGTAAGTAAGTATGATTCACTTTAGATTTACGAATTGTGATCTTTTTATGTACATTCTCGAGATAATATGAAAAATTGTACAAATGCAGCTATCGATTGTAAGTGGTAATTTAGTTATTTCGGTATAACTTAATGGAACGTAATGGGCAAAAAGTACCTAATCGAATATAATGTAAATGAACAATGCTAGCATACTTACAACTCTTTCAGACACCTAATAAAAAATGTGGAGTGCCTAGACCAGACGGATAAAAAATAAAGTGAATCAAGATTTTATCAGTTTTTTACAACCTTTACATAACGCTCTGAAGAAATCAACGTGCATTAAAGGATTATTTTTCGAATTGAAGCGTCTAACAAACTTCCGTACACGATTATTTATCAAGTAATATGGAATATACGCCCTATTTTAACAATTAAAAGGTCTCTTTTTATAGAACAAGGTATGAGAGTGGATGTGTTTGGGACGTAAAGTGACTCGCTCCAATATGCGCGGTTGAATCATTGCAGCGATGCACAGTTTGTCAACATACACACAGAAATACCACAGAACGGCGAACTTGGGGGCATTATAGTAGATTCTAATTATAACTAATTAGACCATGGCTCAGTCTGAATGTCCTTATTATTTACTTACCTCAGAATTATTACTATTAAGTAATGCAATAGCGTCATGATTCTAGATTAAGAATTTAACAGCAGGTTCTACGTACGATTTTAGTGCTTACCTAAACAAATGAAGAAAAAAAGTAAGTTCCACTTTGTTATGAAATGAATTTTAGTAGTAGTAGTAATTTCCTCAGTCAAAAAGAAATTATTTCAACTTTAGCTATGAAGAACAGCATTGACGAATTAAAAAATACTTAAAAATATCACATATTGATTCATTTCTTTACGATATACTTAATATTCGTATTTTTAGATAGTAAAGAAGAAATGAGTATAGTATTTGACGTAATATAATTATGATGTCACAGCTTTTTTTGTCAGGGGAAAATCATCAAATTACTTCAATCAGTGTCAGACTTACTAAAAACCCCCCGTTCCTTCTCCTGCTCTGGGCCGAGGCCGCGGTGACTATGACTTGCGGTGTAATAGAATATTCCTCAAAAATTTACCTTTTTGACATGAATTTCAATTCAATTTCACTACCCTAATATTAAATGTATTGGAATCATGGATTATTTTAGTCATATTAGATGCTTGGCGCTCGCGGGTTATCGATATACAGAGTGCGTAAATTTCTCCTACAACGACATAAACTACAGAGAAAGTACAACGTTTGTTGCATTTTCAATGGTTGAAAAAGTAGTTATTCATACAGGTCACACCGAAGCGACGGTGTAGATCATTTACCTACGGCACACGTTCGATGCTACGTCACAACTGGGACATACATTAATGCATTTTAAGTACTCTAGTTTTACCTACAAAGGTTTTACATAGGAATATATTTATATTAATTTGCGTAGTTTGTTATCTATTACGTAGGGATTGTAAACTGTTTTAGTAAGTATTTGTGTAGGGTTGTAGGTACCTTTTGTTGCTGAAGTTATGTTTCTATTCCTATCTTTGACACTCACAGGATATTTCGAGAAGCGAGTAGGATACGGGTCTCCTGATGGTAAGCAATCGGCGCTATCCATGGACACTCATAAGACCAAAGAAGTTAATGTTGCAAGCCTTTTATGGACTGTTACTAAAGATTTGTTTCACGCCGGTATTCTGTGAGGTCGTGGTATCATTCCGGTCGAGCCGAAACATGGCTCTCCCACACTTAAGACTCTGGGTAGGTACATTTTGCGACAATATTAATTATAGTTTTAATGACTTCCACCTACAGGAATGCAAGTTATGCATTCAATTACGTACATTCTGAACTATTTCCGAGACAGGAACAAGAGAAGTCAATCGCGAATTCGCGAATGCTCGCCCACGATTTCAACAGCAAACTATGTTCATTATCAAAAGCTAACGTACCTATGCCTAGATTGTAAAAAAAATATCTTCAATTCTATACAATTAAATAATGTGAAAGATTTTCACGAACAACAGAAAAAATAACAGAGTACCTATATTATTCTAGTTAACTGGTATTTTTCATTTTTAACCGACTTCCAAAAAGGAGGATTGTTCTCAATTCGACCGTATATATTTTTTTTATGTTTGTGAACTGTTGATAAACAGTACCTATGTATATCACAGTACCTATACTATATAACTATACTATTTTAGGACCATATTTTCTAGAAGATAAGAACAACCAAAAAATTCCAAAAAGAAAAACCCAAATAATGATTCGAGTAAGATTAGGCAAAATAGTTAGGTACTAAAAGCAATCAGATACTGAAATACGATTTATCTGTGCAGGAGCGGTGATAATATCAATTCAGAATCTCTCTCACACCCTGTTGCCTGTAGGTATTACAATTTGCGTCATTGCCATCGTCCAATCGATTTGATAGTGAGTAGTGAGTGACAAAACAGAACATTCAAGTTCAAATCTTTCAGTGTCATTGCCGACAGAGTGCTGTACGATAAGCAATATTATACAGGATGGAAACCTGTAAAAAGAATTTTCAATACAAAGTATAAAAAAGTAGCTTTCTTTGTTACTACATCACTATGTTTAAATCTTTAAAACTACGCAACGGATTTGGATGCGGATTAATAGACAGAGTGTTGGAGAGAAAAGTTTCTACATATTTAATCAGGTATAGATTACATATAAACATGTATTACACACAAATTCTCGCGTGACCGCCTCTTTGGTTCACTGGTTGACTGCCGAGCAAGGGTTGGTTCACCGTCTCATTAAAGAATTATTGATATTTTGGTATGTTCAAAAAGTTACAGGCTAACCCCTATTATGGGATTACTACAACAAGTACATACAGCGTACACCACATTGTATTATGTGCCATGATGTTTGAAGTAAATGTGGGAGAGTCATACTTCGGCATGAATGGGTCGGCTCGATTGGAGTGATACCACGGCTTCACGTAAAACCGGCGTAAAACAATCACAGCGTTGTATTTCGCCTTGTAAGTGAGGTTACCAGATGCCCAATCTTTATCTACTGATTCCTCTTGTGTTGGTGTTGAGGGTGTTAATGGGCGACGCCGAAAACTATCAGGTAATCTCTCAGTACCTTTGCCGACCTATCGAAAAAAAAAATACAATCGGCGTACCCTCATGGGGATAAAAGGCGTGACGGTATTTTTGTTTTTAGTTCTTGCATTCGTTTTTCTATTTTAATGGTGCAGAACTGTAATTGAGATATTGGTAGATATTGGTGGTAAAGGTGTTATACTTAATTCAACACACCTCAAGCGAACGCTGGCGTTCTCGCACCTTTTGTCTTAGAATTGTGTCATATATTACCACGATTAAAAGGTTAAACACCCTGTATGTTATCAGTTGTTTTATATTATTCGGAATAACTGCAGTTAACATTTTCGGCCTATTGATTGTTGGTATCGGTTGAAACGTAGCCACTATCCGTATGGTAGCGATCGCTGATAGCAATCACCTTTAGCCTATGAGCTGTTTTATTATCATCAATGAATTTTGTTTATGTTATGCACTTATTTTAATGTGTCACATACATCGTTATAGTAATCTTTACAATTATTATTTACTACTACTTAATTAAGTATTATTAAGTGTAAAGTGTTTTGTGTTGCAATTAATTATTTTTACATATAAAACCTATTTTAAGAATGTGCCTAGGTGTACGTCGGTCGTCGCCTTTGTGATAAGATTCTTCTTCGTAATTACGTCTTTTGTTTTGTCTGATGAAGTTATCGAAATCAGTTTTTAACTATGTATCACTATAGTGGATATGCCAAAAAATTGAAATTGGAACGTGTTTTTTTTTAAATCGTGTGCAGTGAGTATTTTCTTTCTTCCTTTCTGGGTTGTAAAATATCATCTGTTTGTAAGTAGAGGTAGGTTTGATAATTTACGTAATATTTTTTTGATGTAATCAATCTTAAATGATACGCCCACTTCTTATCAATTGATAATGAAATCATACGACATTCGACGACATCTCATTATTTTTTCATTTGTGATTGCATCGCGATCTTGACAATATGACTGTGATTAAAATAAAATTAACTCGTTGTGAATCTCCTAGAAGGTTTTAGGGTCAGTGGGTAGCCTTAGGGGCGGATTTTCTTTTCCGCTGTGTATTTTTTGATATTATGATCGTTGAAGAAAATTTACTTAAACTTTCCCCGTTTTAAAACACCACCTCATTAAAACTTAACGCCACTTATGGACCATTTAAAATTTAAAATAATATAAAAGAATATCTTACCACATTTAGAAATAATTCCAATTGTGTGCACACGTCTAGCGCCAAATCTTTTAACTGAAAGTCCGTAAATATTTTACTGTTTTCACCACCCGTCGGTTTTCCACTCACATACAGTGTCAAGGTTATATGTTTCAGCAAACATAATGCTATGTAGCGTTCAAACGTTTTGTAATACATTTTAATAACAACTTAATCAAAAACATGTAGAATCAATTAAAATCACACGTCAAAAAACGAAAATAACAAAACACGAAATACAATAAAAAAATTACCGCAATTCTTAATTTAAATTCTTATTTCTTTTTTTTTAAAGAGTTTGTCCGAAAAAATAAGTAAACAGAAAAAAGTTTGATATTATTGCAAACTTTCTGCTCCGATAAAGTGTGATAAAGTACAGTCGCGTGCGGTAGCGCGGTGCTGCGGTAGTTGTGCCTTCGCGCCGCCCCTCAACTCGTAACTGGGGCGCCACGCTACTGAGCTTTACACGTAACCGTATCGCAGGGTGCTCCCAAAGCTCTCTTATTGGAGTGGAATATCTACCTACGATGCGTCATTCCCATTCAACTTTTGCTTGTTTTGAAATAAAACAAAAAAAGGTCCTTCAGGTCACAAACGAATTGCCAAAAGGACTTTTTTGTTGTAAGCAAACGCGTATGTACAAACTGTGCAGTTGATGAAAAAGAACTGGCTGTTTGCCATTCCTGCGCGTGTGAAAATAATCTTGTTTTCCTTAGGTGCTTATAGAGCTACGCACCCATTTAGGAGATAAATTTTCACTTTTTTTCTTAGTCAAATACTTACTAGTAGTTATTAATGAGGTTATCCCATAAATTTGACTTTGGAACCACCACACTATTAGACTTAAAAATAAAGCAGCCGCATACTCTAATTAGGGAAATTATCTAAGATCATTTTTGTTATTCTTAGGGATGGCACCTTAAATTTAGACTTGACATAATCTTTTCATTCATTTGGAAGTATGACTAGGTACTAAGCTTATTATTACCAATTGAATAAAAAGTCAGGCAGTCGTGCAGGTCTGTACGTGTCGTATACTTGATAGTGTGCCATCTCAAAGTTATTCCGAGGACATCGCTTGGAATTTAACTGGCTTGTTAAAATTGTTCGAATTGCAAGTTTCTTGAGCACTTACTCACTTATTTGAAAAGAACTTGCTGATAAAGATTTATTGATATTATTTATTATCTTGGTCAGTTTATATGACCAAACTCGACGATATAGGATCATCGATGTTAGTTTGAATGTGACCTGTTATTTTTATTTTTGACCCGTTTTTTGGATAATTGATAACAATAGTTCGCAAGAGTCTCCTGTACATTTTGTACTCAGATTTCATTCAATTAACCCAAATGAAAATTTATTTTATTATGAGAAAATGCACTTTTACTTAGGTTTCAAAGGTGAAATTTAGTGAGTTCTTTTTCCTTCTAATATACATAGATAATATGTAATAATTACGCCACATTAAACAAACTTTTCACAGTGATTCATCTTACGATTCGTAGTAAACACGTCATATTAAAAGTATTTAATGAATGCCGTCTATATTGTTACGTGCTACGAATATTTGTACATAATAAATTGAATGAATATATTAAATTCAGCGGAAGTTAATGAACTATAATATAATTGCGCAATCGGAGACGGGGGCACTCCTAAGTATGTTAATTTTAATGTTAGCAGCGGATAGACTGCCTCGTGGTTGCGAACATGCGACTTTGGAGCACGTGGTTTCAGGTTTGTTGTCCGGTTCGAGCAAAGTGCGGGAACAACGTAGAAATGTGGTGTATTCAGGAGAATGTAGCCACTTTTAGCCTGTTGTAATCTCATTGTGAAAGAGGATTTGCCATTTTCCTTATTTGTACAATTGTAGCACAAGGGTGGACTTAATGCCCAATTTTGCCCAAAATTATTTACGGTTCATTCTGGAGCTTTCATTAAGACGTAAGAATCTTTGATTGAATTCTTGTTTTTTTTTTTGAGATTCCTATTTTTAATGTCACGTGATAATTCTATCTACTCGACTGGTTGATCGATTAATACATCACAAACGTATAATTAAAAAATGAATCTTGAAAGTACATTTTGGTATGTAGCCACATTATAAAAGAATCCGGAATTAAGTGTCCGTATCAATTTGTTTTGTTCAATTTTACGATTCAATAAAAAATCTTGTAAGTAATTGCAAAAAAAAAGTGTTCGACAAATTCTTTTGAAGTGGATTATGAGTCAAACTTGAACTTGTTGTTGTTAAAGACAGGGAAGAATCTAGTAAGTTAAAATTTTCCAATTAACTGGTTGTTCACATACTTTATTCGTCGGGCAGCAAACGAGCTGACGCTTAACCTAATGGTAAATAATTGGCGCCGCCCGTAGACACTCGCAACACTGAAGAATCACAAGTGCATTGCCAGCATTTGGTAGTGATTTTAGGATTGGGAATTTGGGGATGCAGGACTTGGTACAGCTTACACACAGACTGCTCCCTGTGACCACGACCTGTGCAACCAGGCCGAAACGTCAAGTCTACCAAGGTATTTAAATAATTATATGTTGTAAATATGAAACCGCGAAAGTTTAAAAGTGACACGCCGCCGCAATAGGTGACACACTGGTCGTCGCGTCTCAGGGATCGCGTGACGATCTCCGGCCACCGTATGCGCGGGTTTGCGGACTGCAAAAAGGGTAGCTTGCCGCCCGACCATTCCTCTTACTTACAAGCTATTGATGAACCATCTATAGCTTGAAGAAGTAAGAAGAATTCCCGCCTAAAAAAGAAGAAAAATCCTCAAACCATCTGCTGGACATTGGGTTATTTTTAATAAGGAGTAAGAACTTTCCTAAACAAGATACTGTTTATCAGTCCATTTCGTTTGATGGTGATAATCGACTGCACGGTTGACGCAGTGCCCGGGCAACTGGCTGGGCAGCGGTTCCGATTCCCGCACGGAACAACACTTTGTGTGATCCAGTAATTGTTATTTCTGGTCTGGGCGTGACGTGATATGAATTTATATGTTTGTAAACACACCCATGACAAAGGAGAAATTCCTAGATTGGGCAATATTTAAAAAAATGCTGATGGTAGTCATATCACTATCGTATGAAGTTATTAATAAGTCTACGCAGTTTTTATACTTATAGTAAACCGTACACATCGCTACATCTAAGATATATCTATCTATACTTATTCAAATGTCATTACAATTTTAATGTCATTTTTTATTATATTTCCTTTCCATTTGAACTAGGTAATTTATTTAAGGTCGTTGCACATATAAAGTTTAATTAAACCGGGCCCCTTGACGCGATATAGTCATCTAGGATAGGATCAGAAAGATCGTCTCGGTCACCTTCAGCGTGTTACCTTCTAGTATTAATTATTATTTTAATGTCAATAAATCTTATTGACATTTAAACGAAGTTATTATTCAATTCTAATATTATAAAGAGGTAAAATTTGTAAGTTTGTATGTAGGGGGTAGTCTTTGGAACCGCTGGTCAGATTTTCAAAATTCTTTCACTGATAGATAGCTACAATGTTCTCGAATGCTATAGGCTATAAAACATCACGCTACAATTAAATGGAGCCGAGCAGCGAGTGAAACCGCGCGGGAGTAGCTAGTTATTCTATAATCTTATATAATAAACGCTAAAGTTTGTAAGTATTAGTGATATAGGATGGATGTTTGTTACTCTTTTACGTTAAGTAAAAACTACTGGATGGATTTTGATGAAAATTGGCACAGAGATAAATTATAAGTAGTCTGGAATAAACATAGGCTTATCCGAGTGGTGCGGGCTAAAGTGTTATGATAAATTGTAGGTACATTTGAATTGAGAGGTTGAATAGGTTGTTAGGTTTGTGTAGGCATCGGAACTGATAGACCAAATTAACGTCGGTGCCTAGTAAATGCTACATACCAAGCAACAACAGTATTAGAAAATTATATTCATCGGTAGCTACTAATCATCAAACGAATAATAGGTATATGTATAGGTAATATCTTTACACTATTATTGTTTTACTTGGCACCGAATTCAAGATTGTGTAAATAGTTATAAAATGTTATTTTCTATTTAACTTAATGAAAATACGTACCTATTTCTTTGTACAAAGCAAGTTTATTTTTAGTTTAATTTTTTAAGTCGGTTTATATATTTTTTATTATTTTATTTCACACTAGCTACTCTCGCGCGGTTTCACCCGCTGCTCGGCTCCATTTCATCGTAGCGTGATGTTTTATAGCATATAGCACTCAGGAACATTGTAGCTATCTATCAGTGAAAGAATTTTGACAAACCGACCAGCGGTTCCAAAGATTACCCCCTACATACAAACTTACAAATTTTATCTCTTTATAATATTAGTATAGATATCTATTCAATAAAATTTTATAAATTGACGTGAATCCATATTATACGCGATAAGTATGGCATACTTATAAAGAAACAAACTTTTTATTGACTTATTAGTTTCTTTCCTGCTTGATGGCTATAAATAAAATTGAGGTGTGTGTGGTCTGACGTAATTACTATCTAGTCTCACATTATTAGTATTGCAATAAAAATACTAGATTAATAAATAATCACAGTTTTATAAGAATTATAGGTATCATGTTCATTTTCAAAATTAAGTGTGGGAGAGCCAAGCTTCGGCATGAATGGGTCGGCTCGACCGAAGTGATACCACGGCCTCGCAGAATACCGGCGTGAAAGAACCCACAGCGTTTTGTGGGTTCGTGAGGTTACCGGAGGCTCAATCCCTCCCCTTCCCCTATCCCTTCCCGATCCTTATATCCGCAACCCCTATCCCCAAAAGGCCGGCAACGCACTCGTAACTCCTTTGGTGTTGCGAGTGTCCATGGGCGGCGCCGATTGCTCACCATCAGGTAACCCACTTGCTCGTTTGCCGACTTATACCATAAAAAATCTGGTGTAATTTGACGATGACGAATAAATTCGCTTAGGATAATATTTTAAGACCAAAATTACTTATATTCGTCCAGCCATTCGCGAGACCAACGAAAAGATATAATTTATTTTTATTAATGTAAAGAAAAGATATGAATACCTATTTTATTAAATATTCCGTGATAAGCAACGGTGACCGTTGTTTCCAAGTTTTGTTGCTACTGTAAGAGCGTTTTCGCACTAATTACGTCCGATCCATAATCGTAGAAAATATTCTATAGAATTCGGATATTTCCTTGAAATAATCATTGATGACGGACGGATATAGATTTTAAGTATGGCAGAGCCATGCTTTGGCACGAATGGGCCGGCTCGAACAGAGTGATACCACGACCTCAGATAAAACCAGCATGAAGCAATATATACTTTTGTGTTTCGCAATGTGAGGGAAGTTACCGGAGGCCCAATCCCTTTCCCCATCCTCAATCCTCCAATCCCCTATCTTTTTTTTCAAAGTCAAAATCATTTATTCCAATAAAACTATAAATAGGTACTTTTGAAACGTCAAAATAAAAAAGTTGTCTGTCAGTCCGTTGGTCCGTGAAGCTAGGTGCTGATTCCATTCCAAATTGTAGATTCTTTTTTTAAACTAAAAAAAAATGTTTTACAATTTCAATAATATAACATTTAGTACCTATTCATTATTATACCCCTATGTGAGAACAATGCAGAAACAAGTTGTAAAAAAAAGAACAAATGATGGGACCTATCATAAAATTTTAATTCTTTGTCGTCTCGCTCGGACATGGCGCTTACATATGAGTACCTACTCACAATCTATAAGAGTGCTTCTATATAAACTCTTTGGATATTAATTAAAATCCCTAAAAACTCATAAGAGGCCAGCAACTTACTTGTAGTAACTCCTTTGATATTACGTGTGTCCATAGGTGGCGCTGATTGCTAACATCAGGTAATCCGTGTGCTCGTTTGCCTACCTTTGACATAAATAAACTTATAACACCTCGCTTTAGCTACCTCTATCTTTTTCCGTCGAGGGTTAAAAAATAGAGTGTTAATATAAATCATAGAAGTAGTTTTACAACTATGACGAACCACATTATCATGGTTTCAGATTGGACATAGTTCGAAAGCTTTCTCAGTAGGTACTTAGTACAAAAAATGTTTAGACTAATTAGTTAAGATCAAGACCTACTCGTACCTTCCTTACCTTCCTAAGTCATTGTATCAAGATTAGTTACAGTACAGAATGACCTCCGATGACCGCCATGCGTTGAGTTCACTACCAGCTTGTCACACCAGCCCTTCTTTACCAGAATATCTGAATGAATTTGCATTCATCGTAATCCAATAAAATACACGATTTTTAGTACAATTCACATACCAATACCAACATTATAAAATTGAGTTCTTTCGAGAATTCAAGTCCTTAACGGTAAATGAAAACAGATTTGGTGACGAGATTAGCGGTGTATTTAATTTATATAATTGTTTTTTTTTTAATAATATAAATCAGATTTTTTTTTATTTAAGGTAATTACGTAGGTAATTTAATGTTTGGTAAGAGGGTTCTCTCTGCGTCATAACTGTTTTTATTATTTAGTACTTACTTGGGTTTTAAAAGAGAAAAAGTCGTATTTTTTTTTATTAATTAACGTCATTGGGGTCATTGATTGAATTAATATCATCGTTACAAGTAGCTCTTAAAATTGTAATAGATGACTTTATATCTTATATTTTACTGGCTTCCCCTAGCACGCGTAAAAAAGAATTAGCGTTTAAAGTTATAATAACTCGACTAAAATACGTAATCGTATACTCGATTTTATAGCTAACTTTTCAGAAAAATTTAAGCTATTTATCAGTGAACGAATTTTAGTTTACCTCTTTATAATATTAGTAATAGATGAATTTCGAACTCGTGAACTATGGTTCTCACGACACCTTATAAGTTGTGAGCTAACATTAGCTATCTAAGCACTTGAATGTTGAGAACGAGAAAATTATTTTCTTTATCAGAAAAGTACAATTTTATTGTATTCTGCATCATTTGAGTTAATGACACTACTTGACGAGGCATTTAAGGTCGACACGGAACGCGACGTCTCGCCAACGACCTCTACCGGACATTTAATAGACCATATCTAATATAAGAACTAGATTCTAGATTGTTAATGTTATAGTTATTTCTTATATATAGATGGTAAATATTCGATCACCGCCGGGCCCCACAAAAACACTAGATTTTGAAATTATAATGTCCGCACACCTCAGTGTCAGGCGAATGATGTATTTGACTTTGGTTAGTATAGGTCGACGACTTATCTTTTGTCACTTGTAAAGTTTCAAACAATCGGTTTTATTTTTCTATGTATGTGTATTGAATTTGAAAGAAATGTTATTGGGACCGTAAGTAACGGACTGCAGATACGGTACTCGTTTGTGAAGCGTTAATTATTATAAAGCCAGCGATAACAATCTGCAGATAGCAAATGATTGGCAATTACTATAAAACTGTTTGGACATCGAATAAAGACTCGGTGTAGACTCGGTACTCTGCTGATTAACCTGTTCCTTTTTTTTATTACATGGCAATACATGCGGCCCACTTAATAGGTACTGATCAATAGTGGACGTTGTTCGCGAATACTTAGGTACATGTATGCCACTCATCTCTAAGATGATCTAAATTAGCAAATTTGAACTCCAAATTGAATGACGTTTTAGTATTCGGGTGATTTTCTTATCGGGAATGTTCTAAGCGTGTTTATTATTTATTTAATGTATAAAACACGTGGCGTAAGAATGAGCAGTGCCTTTTTTTAAAGGGGGAGAGGAAGGTGTCTCTTACTAACTAAAGACCACTCCGTTCTCCTCTCCTGCTCCAGGCTGAGGTCGCTGTTCAAACCTGACATAATGAGAAGTCAATGACGATATCATCATCAGCCTATAAGTGCCCACTGCTAAGCAAAGCCCTCTTCTCATACGGAGAAGGTTAGAGCATTAATCACTACGCTTGCTCGATGCGGGTTGGCGATTTCAAACTTATAATTAGAAATTATAAGTCCCGATTTCCTCACGATGTTTACCTTCACGGTATGTCAGTGGTGTCTAAATAATCATAGAAAGTACATATAACTCGGAAAAAGCCACATTGGTACTTGCCAGGTTTCGAACCCACACCCTCATGCATGAGAAGCGGGCTCCTTAAACTCTGGGCCACCACGACACCTAATGACGATATAACCACACCCTATGTGAGAAGTGCATGTGTTAGGATAGAACGTATCGTAACGACATTAAATTATAGATTACTTGCACAGAGTTGAGTTCGACTCAAGTAGGCGCTGCTGCGTACAGCGAGCGCTTGCCTAAAAAAAATAGTACAAATATTACAAATGTAAAATATTGTAGCGTTCAAAAATATAAAGAACAGGCTACAGTCTAAAATAAGATTGGTAAATCAGAAGTGACCGAGTATGCATAATGTATTGATGTTTGTCCCTGATGAGGCGATAATATGCCGGGAGCTGGATATGTCTGACGGACGTCTTATTCATTTGCATCACACCGTGTTGCTACGACAGGAATTATATTTTTTACTGATTTATTATTGTGTTTTTTTTATGTGATTGGTCGGCAAAAGAGCAGACGGGTAACCTGATGATAAGAAATCAGCGTCGCCCATGCACACCTGCAACAACGGAGGAGGAGTGACGAGTGTGTTTGCGCGAGACCTTTTGGGGATTAGGGATCTGGAGATTTAGAGAGAACGGATTGGGCCTCCGGTTACCTCACTCACACTGCGAAACAAACCGCTGTGGATGTTTTCTGTGAGGTCGTGGTATCATTTTGGTTGAGCCGACTTATTCTTGCCAAAGCATGGCTCTCCTACACTTGTATTTAGATATGTGATGTATTTTCGTTTACGTTTTTTGGAAAAGTGTGCGCATAAGCACTTCCTGGAAAGCATGTGCCGTAAGAGGAAGAGGTTTCTAACGAAAGATATTTTTTTGAACAAAATAAAAATATGTAGGTACCTACTTATTATGAAAAATATTTATGTTTGACAAACATTTTTAAGTATTCTGATGTTTTAAAACAGAAATGGGATGTTACCCATGAGACCTATCAATTCAAATGAAGCTACAGATCCCTCCTTTGTTTTTTAAAGTGATACCTACGCAAACATAAAAGTTGTTCCCATTTCTCTATTCAGATTAACCGAATGTGATTGTGCTAAAAGTTGATTTTGGCAAGTGTAACATCACACTTGCCATGTTCTTCATTTAAAGAATTTATATTCGGCGGTTTTTAAATCAATATTGTTTACAGGAATTCACGTTGGTAGCCAAACTTAATTTCAATGGGATATCAATCAATATGTGTAATATATAAAAATGGATCGCAAAATGTGTTGGTAAGCGCATAACTCAACAACGCCTGGACCAAATTTGCTAATTCTTTTTTTGTTGTGTTCGTTATTGTCAGGAGAAGGTTTTTATCAAAGAAAATATTAGAAAACTAGAGGAGGGAAGTTAAGGAAAAAGTGACCCGTGAAAGTGAAAAGCGAGATAGTTGGACCCGTGCGAAGCGGGGGCGGGCCGCTAGTGTGTAATAAATTCAACAGAGTTGGCGGTCTTACATAGGCCTGGGTTCTTATGTGCAATTGTGCAATAAATTCTTAAAAAGGGGAGGTCTTTCACAAATAATTTTCAGTTGACAAAATATTTGAAACTGAGGATCCAAATCAATAAAAAAAAAAAATTGGTTTTCTTTGGTCTTTAACGAACACGTGGAGTGTTAATAAATATTTTCTTTTTTTAAATCTAGCTAACCTGTCTATTAGCGTCAATTTATTATTAGATATTTCTAAATCCAAGTCTTACAAAACATCTTCAAAAGTTGCATCATATTGTGCTTGTGTTCCAATACCTGCTCAGGTAGTGACTTATCTATTTTTTGGGTACAATTTCCTGAACACAAAGGTGACTCAGGGTGGTTCTTCGAAGCTTTGGCCAGTAAAAACTCTTTGACAAAGTTATTTTTCATGAGAATTATATTCTCGCCATGGTGATTGATGATGTCCAGTCACTATTTCGAAGAATATTGAAAGTAAATATTTGAGGAAACTTATAATAAGTACCTAGGTACCTACTAATCATGTACATTTTTTATTAGAACATATCAAAAATATTAACGTAGGTAGGTCTTAAACCAAGATCCAAATCACAAAATGAAGCGTTAATAAATATATTTTTAATATTCTATTTAACATGACCAAAAATATTCATGCAAGTCCTTTTCACACGAAAACTGTTTAAGCATTAACCACTACTACGCTCTTGCCCCAAATGTTCAGGGTCACAGAGGTCATCTGCTCCGTTCTTTAATGAAGTCGGAATAGCTTGCAAGTGTGGTGATGATGCGACGTAGCGTGCAGCTATCTGTCAGTTTGTGTAGGCTTATATTTACATCGAGGGTAGATGAAAATAAATAACCTTTATCAACGGAGTAGTATCGCCGAACAGTCTGCTTGTGACCACGGCAAGTGTAACCCGGCCGAAACGTCAAAAAAAACAAATACATCCCGTAAACAGTAAAGTATTAAGTATATGCAACGAGAAAATTTCTAGTATAGGTAACCCCACCCCGCTACATTATAAAAACTGAACTTATATAAAATCATGACTTTAGATTTAATCCTGATGTTTTCCTTCAACGTTTGTTAGTGGTGTCTAAATAGACCTTCGAAGTACTTATTAAGGTTTCAAAAAATTGCTGGTTTTAAAACCTGATGCCATGCCGCGTAAAATGGAATTGAGCGTTCTGCATCAAATTTTTCCCACTATCATCATATAGGGTGCTATAGTACCTAAATCCATTACCAAATTAAACCCGAGTATATGCAACCCACAAGCTGTATAAAAGGTAATGCAATAGCTTTAAATAATGATATTTTGTCACTAGTGGAACAACGAACGAACCATGAGCTGTCGTAGCTCTAATCAACGGAGCCCTTCGTTCCCTTTATATGTCGTCACGTAGATTTGAAACAAGTATATGGCCCAGACATTTCAATTGCTATCTATAATGTCCAGGAAAACACCTTTTAAAAACTAAGCGGTTGTACACTTTCTCTTGCCCCACCCACGGTGGGAGAATTGAGGGGAAAATCCTCAAAAATTAAAAAGATGCTACAGACAGATCCTTCTTTTTTTAAAACTGATGCGTAGTACGTACACATAATGTGCAATGCAAGCACAATAATATGCCGTAGCCACGGCCTAGAGCACAAGACGGAACGGGCGATGTTTAGTCAGTAAAAGTCTGCCATTACCTTTTTCCCACTATCTATATCCCACACGGGATGGGACATTTGATGAATTTCACACCTCAAAAAAAGAATGGTATCTAATCTTTCGAAAATCTTGTTCGGACTTTAATGTACAAATAATGACAAATTTTTAGGAATGCTCCGTCATACCATTTAATGGCAGTATCCTTGGATTGTGCCGGTAGCTGTAAGCTTTTCTAACGTTATCTGATAGAGATACTTTATTACCTATTACCCAAGAAGTAGCGATGGTGACATTTAGAGTGCCACCGATGAATCAGAGAAGCCCTCCAAATAGAACTTTGTACCCTCGTAATCAAGTCGTCGAACCTCATTTGGTCATTACCTTTTTAATAAAATAATGCCTTTTAATGCAAAATCTGCATTCTGTTGAGTTCGAAGACCAGACGAAGGGTTGTTGGCCGACATTGAATCTACCTACCATCGTACTACCCCGTGCGAATAAAACGCGTGAGGTAGCAAATGGTTTCTAAAATCTAAACGAGGTCGTGCACCTTTAAAAATAATCAGTTCCGCAAGCGAAAAAAATATTTTTTTTCTATAAAGGACTCGTGGTGGCGTTACCTTGACTTGAACAGATACAACCTTCGAATATATTTCGTCACTAAAATAGTCGGTCGATGAACTTCATTGACTAAGGTAATGACGAGAATTATTTTGCAATTAAATTTATATTAACATTTTTTGGAACAAATGTCACGTATCGGCATTTGAGGACCGCCACCCGTCACCTACCTGTGCGCCAAACATGATAAACACTTTTTTGCTCGTTACTATATTGCTTTTAGTTGTCTTTAATTGGATTTAATTTGCATACATATTATGAAAAATGTGTTTTAATTTTTGTAAGTCGGTAGGTTCTTTGGATCTAATTTTTTACAAGTAGGTACCTACCTAGATGAAATGAGATTGTAGTAGTAGGTACAAGTCTAACTAAATTACCTACCTTGTAAGCGTGCTTCCAGAATCGATTACTTTCTGAAAGAATATTAAGGTACCACAATTTTATCCCAGAATACGAACTGGCATCTATATCTAAGTATAACACCTAAATCTAAGCATTTCGGTGCCATTTTCCACCTATCCAGGCCCCTCATAAATTAATATAAAATTCAAGAATAACAGACAAACAGCGCAGCGCGTCTAAAAAAACAACTCACGCCATTCCTATGTATGTAGAACACATCTGCGTAGGAAGACTACTAATAAATAAATATATTTTAATTCTTTATCGATCGTGTTACATACATCTAGTACATAATGATTAATTGTATTGTAGTTTGGCGCCAAAATTCCACACAAAAACGTGGCTGAACGGCCGTGACTCTTGAACGCAAAAAACTGTGAAGGTATTAAGTATTGGACCTGCTTAAGATACTCCACTAGATATGAATCTACAACGCTTTAATCTACGTATAAATAATATTCAATAATCAGCGCAGTTCACCATATAAAATGATAGTTTTTGCTGCTACTTAGCGCGTATTCAATGCAATCTTTTGTGTTGAGATTCATATTTTTTATGAGATAGATCGGCCCAGGACACTAATGACACTAGAGGAGATCCAACAGGTTTTAACAGAGACTAGAGCACTAGAGATTTTAACAGAGACTAGAGCACTTGAGGTTTTAACAGGTAGATATATTATATAGGTAATAACAGACCACCAGATATTACACATCCGATCCTTGATTGGTAGGTCGAAACGTCAGTAATCAGTTCCAAACTCTGATGGAGTACCTTATTTTTATGTACCTCATAGGATTACCTGATGGAAAGCAATCAACGCCACCCATGGAATCGCCACGCCAGAGGATTTACGAGTGCGTTATCGGCTTTTTAGGGATAGCTTTGGAGATTTAGAGATGGGTTCGGGGATTTAGGGATTGGGGAAAGGGATTTAGGGATTGGGGAAAGGGAAGAAGGATAGAGCCTCCGGAACCCTCAATCACTCAGTGAAACAAACCGTTGTAGTTGTTTCACGTTTTCGGATTCCGATCGAGCCGAACACATTTGTGAAAACCTTCTTAGGCTGCAGATCAGAAGAAATGCTTGCATCAGAACTAATACACACGGTATCAAATGTTCATAGTTCACAGGTAAATATTTATGTCTTTCAGTATTTACGAAGATAAAGGTAGCATGAATACAACAAGGTCTTTGAAGAAAAAAAAGATTTTGCATAATGTTAAGGGTATTTATTTGAATGCTTAACAAAACATTCCGGAACGTCGAAGGACATTATGTTAAGCTTTTATAGAACTAAAATACGACGCAAAATAGTTTAATGTTGGTATTTTTCATTCGTGCATCCTCTAAAACGAAGTTTAATAGCTGTCGATTAGCGGTGAGGAGTACCTCTTATCGCCAGTCAGTTTCTTCAACGAAATCTGACGGTCACGCTCCCGACGCATTGCCTAGAAGATACGCTTATTTTAATTGATATATGAAGGTGTCTGGAACTGCAAAAATGCAGAACCCATTATGTAAGTTATGTTCAACACAATAGCTGCCAAATTATTTGGGCAATCTATGGACTACGGGAGGACTAAGTAGGAACTATGTAAATATGTAGGCAGGTAGATACATATTCTATATAGTCAAAACGAATTAATAAAAATTACTACTTACTTAATAAGTGGGTAGGTAGGTACGTAGAACTTACATAAAAAGAAATATCTACCGATATCTACCGGCAATTCAGCAGCAGGTACCTATCCACCTAAAGTTGGTATTCTAACCAGCGTAAGCGCCTGATAATTTTAACTCAGTATATCACATTATAATAATCGTTTTTCGCCAGGCGCTTAGCTAAAGTTTATTACAATCTATCTAGCTAAAGGATGTGAACAAAATGCATAGGTATTATATTAACAATTGTAGGTAACGTACGTAAAATCTTTTGAACTGTTTCATATTGGTGTGGCACTCGCGGAAATCATCGACCAAATAGTTACATTTCACTAGGCCTCGGTCCAACCCATACGCCTCCAAGCAGTCCATCATTGCCATCTCCTCCCTCTGGCAACGACCTAACATCTGGTAGGAATGGATGCATCCCGTGAGGTCCGTCCAAGGAGAACGAAAAAAGGGCGATATATTATGCATTTTTTTTAACACTCGACTTTAAAAAATATAATAAATATTAGGTACTTAGAAGAAAATCCGTAGATAAGATTGATATTTTGTACAAAACGTCAATTTGACATAAATATTTAAATAAAAAACAAAACGGATTTAAGAAATAGTTTAGCAGTATAGTATAGTAGCTGTTTGTAAAATATTTTTCACACTTTACTTGCATTAGGTATTTTTATTAGTTTTTGGCTGACTAGTTTGTGATCATGATCACCAAAAAATCACTAAAGAATATAGTCGTGTATGGACGACGCGCGACGTACAGTGATCCATAAATAATTATATTCAGGCATTAACTTGTATTATCTGCCTACTCTTAATAAGGAGTTGTGACCTGAAAGTGCGCTGAGGCATCGCGTGCTCTTTAACCATATTTTATTTCGACTTGCTTACCTCGCAGTGTTATTGTGAGACTGTGTGTTATACCTAAGTATATTTTATTGAAACGAGTATACCTCCTTGAATTATTATCATACAAGCTTTCTTTCCTAAAGAGTAGGCACAGCTGTATTTCGGGCCAGTGTTGGATTGGCCTTATATGGTAGTGTCAGTCAGATATATTTTTAGTATAGAAAAAAACGAGACTTCCCTCTATCGCCTATCGACATCGATATTCGACTACCCACCTAGACCAACGGGCTTTGGGCTTCCGATGTCATAGTGACCATTGGTTATAATCGATTTATGCAGTGGTCTATTATTATAATATTAGAATAAGACATATATTTTTTCTTTTCTGTGCCATGATTAATGACTATGATCATATTTATTTATCCAATTAATTACATACCTAATGGGGTGGCTTGACTTAGTAACAAAATAATTTCGACTTGCCAATAAAATGCAACAAAATAAAAAATCGATGTATACAACATTTATTTTTAAGAAAGAGGTATGTCCTCTATTGTAAAAATATGAGGTCATGACATACAGCTCTGTACAAAATTGAAGTGGCGACCCCTAAGTTCCTCTAGTTTATTAGTACAAAATTCTTCAGCTGGCTATTTTGACAATTCAAAAAAAAGGATTAAAATTGACAGGTTGTCAAGCTGTTTCTTGTTTTGATTAAATTTCAGAATCAGTATGTGCATTACTATTTCTGAAGCACAGCTATTTATGACTGTTAATAATTTTAATTTTTTAGTATGTAAAATATATAAAACAATTATTCTGCTTAAAAAAATGCAATACAGACAGGCAAAAAACAAAAGAATATGTTGATTAAATTATTTTATTTACACCAGTATTACAGTTTATTCTGTTGCAAAAATTAAAGTAACTATTGGAAAAGGTTGCGCTATGTAGAATTAGAAACTATCAATTTTCGGTGACACAAATTTGTTGTCTCCATTCAACTTTCCTTCTGCAATTTGTCTCTCACGCTCTCTGCGCATAGCCTGTAAAAATGTAGGAAATCTCAAGTAAGATACTAACATAATACAAAAAGGTACAAACATAATACAAATTTGTCTGCTGGGTTTTGCATCATTTATTTAGTGGTCTTAGCTACTATAACAGTACCAGCGCGTGCCAGTAGTACCGGTGCGTTACTATGCATAGTGGTGAAGGCGTTCTTCCAGCCTTACCCCAATATGCACTTAAATGTGGCATGATCAATGACATTGTTATAATAAATTGAAGCTGCAAGTATCATATTCAAACACATACCACGAATCGTTTGTACTGCTTCATCGAGGTCTGGCATTCATGGAAGTCATCAAACAAATGTGCGCATTTGACCTTTCCGCGCTCAAGACCGTAGGCCTCCAAGCACTCCATGTAACGACTCTCCTCCTTCTGGCAACGACCCAGCATTTGATGGGAGTGAATACCTCCCGTCAAGTCCGTGAACGGAGAGCGGAGGAATGGTGAAAGAGACATTGTTATGTCTGAAACACAAAAAATCTTCAGAAACTACATTTAGGTTACAAAATTACGTAAACAAATGACATCAAATTTTGTGACCAGTGTTTACAGATTTTCATTTATTTATAATGCATTTTGAACGTGTTTATTGTAACAACTGAAGGTACTCTAATCTTTTCTTCCATGAAAAACAAATTACCTTTTAAATTCTTTCAAAAATCGAATTTAGTCAATGATTTCTGGTCGAAAACAAATGTTTGACATTGACAGCAATGCGTAATGACAGATCGTTACATTCAACACAGATAAAAATTGATGATTTTGGTAATTTTTGGAAAATATGTTACTTATGGTGTGAATACCTACGCAACTTGTTTGCTTGTACACAAATATGAATAGTATATTTTTTCTGAGAAATATCTTGATCTCGTATTTTCAGTAACAGTGAAACGGTGTAGACGCAGAAGAAGGCTGAATAGATACTAGGAAAATTCGCGAAGTCCTATTCACCCCTGAAATCCTATTCTCCTCGTTTTACGGTATTTTAAACGTACAATTTCGTAGGAACTAGAGATCTTAAAAGAATATCGATATCGACAAGTTTGGTCAATGAGAAATCTATTCGTCTATGGGTACGGCACTTTCTGTCACTGTCACAAACAGCTGGACTGATTGAAGTTCATGAATTCAAGTTTCCACGTAAAACAATACAAGTTATTGCAAAAAAAATAAGAAAGTACATTAATTCGGTAATTATGGAGCAGTGGATTAGTGAAGGATTATCCAAAATTTTGGATTTCCAGATACCGGATGATTTAATAAAGTATGTTACAACGGGAAATCATGTTTCTGTTTTTGTTCTTTAATTGGTACACCATATTACATGGCTTAAAGACTATTAAAAATTCAGGTTGTCTGTAATTGTATTTATAAAATGTAATTTTTCACTTTTAGATACATAATGTCAATAGAAAGTGAGAATGATTTGAATGAGTACATGAAGACTCTACTCGACTTTGATAACTCACAACATAAAGGTTTCTTCTTGGAATTGTGCAAGAAAAAGTTTCCGAGCCGGGGTAAGTTACATTTATTTCTTAACCTTACACAGATTATTACTTTTATGTTACAGTAAGTATGTATATCAAATTGCAAAATATTTTTTGTTAATTTTAGTATTGTTGCGCAATGTTAATAAGTACATTGAAATCATCATCACCTCATTATCCAAAGAAAACTGACCTCTTAGTTTGTTTCGACATTTCTTTTCAGAGTAGTCAGACAGGAAATTCCACTTTCATCCAGTTTTTTTTCATATAATTTTGACATATAAAAGTGCTGTTTTATGGCTTATTTGCAAAAATAAATTCATTGTTTCATAGATGATCACAGTCTTAACAGTCAGTTTTATTACCACATCAAAAATTAAAATTAGAACTAAAACCTTCACACACTTATATTTATCATTATTTAATACATAAATTCCAGCCAGCTCACAACCAAAGCAACAGAAGAAGAAAATATCAAAGAACAAGCAACAAGACTTCATCAGTGCCCCACCAGTGCAGGAAATAAAGGAACCAGTGGAAACTGATGGCAAGTCTAAGAAGAAAACTAAGTATGTCAACTTATACTCTCAAGAAGGGAAAAATGCACAAGTTGTGTTGCTAAAAGGTATTTTTGATTTTTAACTTTATTTCAATTCTACATGGTTGAAAGTTTATTGAACAAAGTCTAATTAGGGAAGCTTGTGGTACTATGATTTGTTAGTTAGAAACTCCCACACTATTATGTTTTATAATGTTTGTGTTTTTAAGAGAAAAATTATGGTTTTTATATTGGTTAGTAAGATGAAGATTACAACATTTATAACTTAATAACAAATTTTTGACAGTGATAAAATTCATGAAAATTATGCCTTTATCTGAAATTCCAAATTAAAAAATCCTCTATTAACACAATTTTTTTTCTAAACAAATAATTTAATGTTTTGTTCTTGTTAAGATATGTTACGAATTGTTATGGTCTTGTTTTGCAGGCAGACATCGCTGTGACTGCCAGGCTTCCAAACATGATTTGGTTAACAACTGCATCCAATGTGGACGCGTTGTATGCACGCAAGAGGGCTCAGGACCATGTCTGTTCTGTGGCAATTTGGTAAGAAAATTTACAGAAAATAATATTAATAAGTCTTTTATTTAATCCTAAATTTTGGTTATTGCCACTTTTTCCACAAGCTGTCGACATCATCATGCTACCTGTTTCGCCCTTATAAACGGTTTTAAAATATATGTCTTTTTCAAAATTATCTGTTTTTAGAATATTTTTGCGCAAAGATTTTGGTACTTGCGCAAAATTTTACGCTTAAGTTTAACTGTTAATAGTTGGTATCGTAAAACCTCTAATTTATAAAAAAACATTGTCTTCAAGGTATGCACTCCAGAGGAACAAAAAGAGTTAAATTCAAAGACCAAAGGGGCTGCCAAGCTGATGGAATCTTTAATGGAACGCAGTAGACCTAAGGGATGGGAAGCTGCTCTGTCACACAGAAATCGTCTACTGGAGTACGATCGCACAAGGTAAAAAGCTGTAGAATATTTTACTTTTTCTAAATAATATTCCATTTCATCATATATTTTTTTTCGTTTCTAGAGCCATCCTCCACGTTCTTGTTTGTTGTTTCTGTTATTGATAATTTTAGGGTATAACAAAAATATCATTTTTATTGGCAGTGAGCGTCGTACCCGCGTCACGGATGATGATAGCGATTATTTCAACGCAAACAGTGTGTGGTTGAATGCTACTGAAAAGGAGAAGCTGGAGAAATACCAACAATCTCTCCATGAAAAGAAGCATGGCTCAAGGCTTAACAAGAAAATGACATTTGATTTTGCCGGTAAGTGAAGCATACATGCGCAAAGTAGACCATTCATGCGCAAACTGCTTTTACGCCTCTTGCGCAAACGCTTATTTCAGCATATAAATTATTGTCCTTTGTTATTCTACTTATTAGAGAATATTTTATTATGAGATTGAAATTGTTCCTAAAATGTGTCTTCTCTAGTTTTTTTTTTGTGAGGGGAATATCATCACGTGGCTTCTCCCGCCTAGGTGAGGCGAGATAGACTGTCATATTCTTACTGACTTAAAATCCCCTGTTTCTTTTTCCTGCTCTAGGCCAAGGCCGCGGTGCCTCATTGCGCTTGCAACCTCGGCTAAACAACAACCCTATAAGGCCGCGTCTGTGGTGGTCTATTGGCTCTTTGAGGCGCGCGTAGAACAGAACGCGCCGTAAGCTCGGATCTGGTTCTGGTCGGGGAACGAGCTACCCTCATTTGCCGTCCGCCGATCCGCGCTTATGGTGGCCGGAGATCGTCTCTCGTGCTTTAGTTGAACTTTGATTCATGAAATATACTTATCTGTAATATACGTCTATAATATGTACTACTAGCTTTAGCCCGCGAGACCATTCGCGTAAAATTGTGACTTCCAGCAGATTTTTGTTGTTTCTGGAGTTTCAAACTATGTCTGTACCAAATTTCACTGAAATTGGTTCATTAGTTTAGGCGTGAAGAAAAAACAAACAGACAGACAGCAGACAGACGGACAGACAGACAGAGTTACTTTCGAATTTATAATATTAGTTTGGATAAATAAATGAGTAACCTGCATTTTCCTTCTCAGGCCGTCAAATAGTGGAAGACAACACAATAGACTATGAGCCAGACGAGGATCAGATCAAACAGATGACCAGTGACAGTTCTAACAGTGGGAGCAAGTTGCAGCATGATATGTTCATTGGAGTGGCCAGTGACAGGGACGTGGCGCCTGGAGTTAACGCACCACTTTTAAAGGTCAGTATCTAAGTCAAAGTAATATTTGTTTATGAAATAAGACGGCAAACGAGTACATGAATTACCTGGTGGTAAAGCAATGAGCGCCGCCCATGGACACCCGCAACAACGGAAGAGATACGAGTGCGTCGCCTTTGAGGCGCACCTTTTGAGGATTGGGTTTTTGGGGATTTAGGCAGGGATTGGAGGAGGAGAAGATGGCCCCGGTAACCTCAATCACAAGGCGAAACATAACATAAGTATAAGCATCTCTAGTATTCTACGAGGCCTTGGTATCACTCCGGTCGAGCCAGCCGATGGCTCACCCACACGAAGTTTATAAATTGTTTATAAATGGTATTTCAGTTCGACCCCTCAGTGGAGACACAAGGTTACGCTCAGGTGACCAGAAGTAACCCTGGCCAACAGCTGCCTCGAGTACAGGACTTGGAACTGCAAGAGATGAGCGATACGGGCCGTTGTCTATCCATGCACCAGCCCTGGGCCTCGCTGCTTGTTGAAGGAATTAAGCTGTAAGTACCTAACTAGTATTAGATAATATTTTTAAGTGTTGTGTGTGTTTTTACCAACATACCAGGCGGGCGAAGTCGCGGGCGGAAGCAAGTTTCGAATAAATCGACTTAAAATAACATCTGTCGTCACGATTTAGTACATTTCATACTAATTTGGTTCAGTCAGCTTCAAATATATATAGGGGCATTCAGGGTACTAAATATCGCAAAGCGTCATAAATATCGGTACAGTTTTACTGTCAATGATATCGAGTATCGAGGTATCTTAAGTGTTCAAAATTATGAAACACATTAGGAAAATGAACTTTATACCATAGATGTTAAGTGTTGTGTTCAGCGACTACTGCTGTCCTTTTCATTTTGAGCATGACGTCATGTTTTTTGTTTTATAAAATATTCCGTGCCTAATCGTTTACATATCTGTATTGTGCAGCAGTGCTAGCAATGCGCAGTGAACTGAAAATTCTTATGAGACCTAGACATCGTGCAAAAAATAAAAGTACGTGATTTAGAGTTAAATAAAGCTATAATTGTGTCAAAAATTTTGCATAACCAAATTAAAAATTGCATCACTCATCCTCCCAACTTGAAAAGTAAGTCAAGCGTACCAGGTGATCGATATTGAAATGGGTCAGGGTTACCATGACGTAGCGAAACTCGCTTGCGCGGTACGTGACCTCGGTACAAAGGTCAACTCGTGGCCCGTGACGTCACATGCAACTAACCATAGATGTCGCTGTACACTAACGGAGCGATTAGAGTTCAAATTGATTTCAGAAACTAGATGGCGCTTAGCATTGAGAGTTGATTTCTGAATCGCGGTGTTAAGATTCTCCGCGATTACATGACATCACAACGCTCGTTCATTCAGGTAGAAATTTTCCGCAGGGTTCAAAGGTAACCCAGTCTGAAATTTCTCATTGAACCACTATGATGAATAGTGCAGTACATACGTGAGAACAGTTGATGCGGTAATTCTAGCCGGGTTAAGGTGATTAAAGTTCAGAATGGGTCTGATTACCGACATCAGCTATCGATGATCGTGCAAGTTACAAGCGTGACTTAGGTACAGCTATCTGAGTGGCTTTTTAACCCCCTTTGATGCCCTAAAATTAACAACTCGACCATCCTGCTTTCTTAAAAAAGCATGAGTACTAAGGTTTTAGTGATGTTTAAGGTTTTAGTGATGTTATCCTCTACCCCAATCCCAACATTTTTGAGACTCTAATCCTCAGAAGGTTGGCGACCAACTTATCTTCTGATGTTAGTAGGTAATCGGTCAATTCATTATGTTATCTTATTTGATTTCAATATTCGCAATACTTTAATTTATTCGGCCTTATTACAAAACAAGGTTTTACTTCAGTCTAGTACTAAACCATTGAGCCAGTTTTCGTTAGTTTCAGTTCAGTTTTTTTTAGATGACAATAAGATTCAAAATTCGTTAGTTCAGTTTATTTTAGATGACAATAAGATTCTAAATTCAAAACCCGACTCAATGGTTTAAACCTGGACTAAAGATAAATCTTGTTTTGTAATAAGGGGGATTGAGTTCTAAAGCCATAAGTGCGTTTTTGATCTAATTTAAATTATGATTGGCTTTTTTCATTATAATCTTATTTTAGCTTATTCGTCAACCTTATTTCTATGCCTGATGTTCAGGTCTATGCATCATGTTCAGGTTGCTAACATTTATTTGCAAAAACACGTTATTGTAATTACGGTGAAATAAAGTTTCTTTTGTTTTGTTATTAATACAATTAAATAGGATACAATTATGAAAGCGACAGTTGTGTACTTGTCTTGGCCTTTATTTATTGGATGTCCTGCAGCCTAATGTTCGACATGATCATAATTATTATGCTCATTATAAAGAAAATGGCCAACAGCTCCATAAATACTCCTTAACTTTCCTCAAATTGAGACGTGTAAATGTTCTGTGATCTATTCCAGGCACGAAGGTCGTACCTGGTACTCCAGTCACCGCGGGCGGCTATGGATCGCGTCTACGGTAAAACCACCAGACCAAGAAGTCGTTAGGGCTATTGAAAACCAGTACAGAGTTCTATATCCAGGTAAGAATTATTTTATACGTTGATATTCCTAGAAGATCTAAAAATCGAGCTCAGTGGCGTGCAATTGAAGAGGCCTATGTCCTGTATTCGACGGAAACAGGCTAATGACAATGATGATGATGATGATGATGATGATGATACCCTGAGTTCTTTCAGTCTTCTAAAGGTACAAGATATTTACTTATTGGTAAAAAGCTTATAATTGTTTTTTATGTGATAGGTCGGCAAACGAGCAAACGGATTACCTGATGGTAAGCAATCAGCGTCGCCCATGGACACCGCAACGACGGAGGAGTTACGAGTGCGTTGTCGACCTTTTGGGGATTAGGGATTTGGAGATTTAGGGATGGAGGAGGGATTGGGGGTCCGGTAACCTCACTCACACGGCAAAACACAACGCTGTGGTTATTTCACGCCGGTTTTCTGTGAGGCTCTAATCCTTATTATTGTTAAACATTTCTTATTGTTAACACATTCAGTGCCCCCGACGCGTATGTGCGTTTCCTCGCACGCACATACGCGTCGGGGGCACTGAATGTGTTAAAAAGGCTTATTGTTAAATGTATCTTATGTATCTTATACTTGTACAGCTGTACTACATCATTATTTAATTTCTTACCTACATAAGTGCATACCAAATAATTTGGTTGACTGTACAATACGGTAGTGTCCTACTAGTCAAATTCAATACTTTTATCCAAATGTCAAAAACGATACTTTTCTATGAAATTTGTATGAAAAACTGAGGTATGACGTCATAACATTTTTGCGTCAAATAGCTTTTTATTTCTGAATAATGAGCTAAAAAAAATCTAAAACTTAGTGTATCGATCGATCGATGAATAAAAGTATAGCTATATTTCAATATTTTATTGTATTAAAACGTCGAATTAATTTATTTTTGACCTAGGACACTACCCAATTGTGTTCATTATAGAATTAGGAGTTTATTAAGCAATTTCCATTTATATTCACTTATATTAATTACTTTCCATATAACAGAGACAGAAGTAACGTTCCCATCGTTCTACCCTACTGGATGTCTTCTCGGCTGTGTCAACGTAGACGATTGTTTACCTCAAGAAGAGTACCAGAAAAAGTGAGTACCTACATTGCATAATGAACCTTACCTCTTTGTTGTTAAGAAGTCAACTGGTTTATTATTCGCATATTGCTTGCTCTTGTTATATTTTCAGGCAATTATTCAACTTTTCAGTTAAAAGTGAATAACGTTGAGTTATTACGTTGTGCCGACAAAAAAGAAAACAATAACAGACAATTTGTCTATTTTGATCAGCAATTTTAGAGTAAGGCGTGTACATATTCCATACCTCAAAGAGGTCTGTTCTTATTTTTGCTGATTTTTAATTTCGATATTGTTAATAATTCTTACAAATACACCTATTGGATTTTATACTTCAGTCGCGCCATCTGTTGAGAGCAATAACGTATTTAGATATAAAAATAGTTTCTAAATAAAATGTTAATATTTCAGATATCCTGGTGGTGAGAGTGATAGTCCGTATGTGTTCATTTGTTCAAATCCCATCAGTTTGAGGCTTCGGTTCCCGATCAAAGGAGCCCATAAAATATGTAAGTTTTTAATAATATTAATGATCAACCCGAATTGCCTTAAAATAACTTACCTAGCTAATAACTTATGTATAGTGAGAAATCTAGAACTGTGAAGGTTGAAAATGAGTAACTATGAAGTTTCTAGCCATTTCTACATAAAAATCTACACTTTAGAACGAGTTTCAATGTGAACTTTCTTTAAAATATTTGTTGACTTTTTTTTTAAAACCGTTGCCCCACACTAGTATTTTCTGTGTCGGGGAATCGAACTAAAGAGTAGTATATTACATAATTATGTAGATATGAGGCTTATGTTTCATATAATATTAAATTAATAACACGTCTGGAAGCTTTTCTCTGCTTTAAAAAAAGTCTGAATTCTATGTATTTCCTTCTTTCAGATGCATTAGACAAGACGATTCACCAAGCGGCTGTGAAGTGTATTCAGAAAATGTCCAAAGTCCAAGCAAATGCAGCATAAGGTCCATAAACTTATTACCTAAACGTAATTAATCCTTTATTTATATGAAATAATACAGAAAATTTGTTAAGAAAAAATCTTTTATTTACACAATTAATCACTAAAAGTATAAATATTTAATTTCATTTTCAATTATTTCATTCATTCTTCTTTCATTCACTCATATTCATTCAATTCAAATAAACAGAAATAAATTTGCATTTAAATAGTAAATTTTATAATAAATGCTGCGGAATTTTTAATATACATACATACATACATGTAAAACAATCGAACATACATACATAACACTCCAGTATAGTTAATATTAGATATATAACGAACAACAAAAACACATATTTTGCATTTAAAATAAAATAAGACATAAAAACCTTGATTTGTAGCTTACTTAGCCAATTTTAAACTCTGTCGTGTGGACATTTGATACATAATAGGATAACTTGCATATTTTCGACTGGCCAAAGAAATAATTGATTCAATAGGGAAGCTTGTTTTTCGTCTTAGTCTAAAAAGTGCACATTTTTCTACGTGTCATATTATTTTATGCGGGGTAAAATTCAATTGTTTCATGGCCCAAATTGCTTGATAGGTTTTTAAATATGTCTAATGCTACATTTAATGCAAAAATGTATTGTAACTTACTAACTAAATGAGCACCGATAGAGTTCAAACAACAGTTGTGAAATAACATAAATGAGATGAATAATAAAATTTAAATGAGTCTTATCTAGTGTCAGTTCTTGCAAGTTTAACCCGACGTGTAGTTGCTAAAATCTATCTATTTATAGTGTTGAAGTCCAGCGGTCAATGAATTATTGTAAATTTCTAAAAACAGGGCTTATTAATCCCAGTTACAACTTAGTGTCATAATTATGAAAATCGACAAGCTAACATCACTAACATCGTCTCTTGAAGAGAGTGCAGTGACGTCAAAACTCAAGTTCTGTCTAAAGTTGAACTTCTTTCACCGCTGTCACATAGTCCTATAGAAAAGCTTTGGCAGTAAAGAGGATTTGGTTTGTAGAATAAACTATACTTAGGAACGTTACGATTCCTTCTTCTGGTTCAACTGGGGAAAGAATGCTTCTATTGGTAAAATCGGATCGTCTGTTGCTATCGTGAAGTAGTTCGGTATTCGTCTACTGTTTGACGACACCGTCTTAAACATTCCCGGCTTGTTGTAATCTTTGCTTGCGGCTAGCGTTAAGTCCGACACTCTCTTGGAATGTTCAAATAAGTGCTCTAAATGATCATGATGCTTTTTGTCCGCTATCTTCATGATTGCACTCTCTGATCTTGTCCTTTCTGATGTTACTTCGTTCCTGTCGTAAACTGTTGTTTCTGTTACGGATATGTCCTGGACGGATTCGCCTATTTCTGAGTCCTTGATCTTCTTTCTTAGTGGTCTTTTGCTATGAACTGTGGTTGGTGTGGTTGTCTCCGGTTCTTCAGTCGTAGGCCTCGGCCGCCGCTGTCCGTTCCGAATGCGCGCTGATACTCTGATTGTAGTCGCTTCAACATTCTCTGTTGTCTGCCTTTGCTTGTTTGGTTTAGTGAATTGTGATTCTTTCTCTGTCTGCGTCTGTTCATTTTCCTGAATTCCGTTCTTGTATCGCGGGTCTTTGGGTGTGAATCTTTTGCGTTCTGTAGTGCTCTCATTTTCATTGTTAATGTTTTCATTGTAAGGCACTCTTCTCTGAGGGAATCGTATCTTAGGTGCGCTTTCAGCAGGTTTCTCAGTAGTAGTAGTTGTGGAACTTAGTCTGTTTCTGTAATCTTTGACATTGAATCTTGTTCTGTTGTATTTATTCCGCAGTCTCGGTCGCTGAGGTCGGCTTGTAGTTGTAACGTCAACTCTTGGTGTTGTCGTGTAGTCTGTTCTATCTTCTTTGTAAAACTCTGTTGTTGTCTCCCAAGCCCTTACTGGTTCTAGTTTAGCTTCAATAGGCTTCACATCTTTGTGGAATGAAAATTCTAGTCCAGATTCGACAGTACTTTTCAGCGTATCTGATAAACTTACAGTGACGTCACTTGTGGGCGTGTCCTTTTCATCCTGTTTGTGTGTAAAATCGTTTTTGAAGTCATAGTTATTTATTTTGGAACCATGTGGTCTGCTTGTTATTTTCATAATCTGCGATTCTTTGTTAAGGTCTTCTTGGATGTATGTTGTTGTTTCTGGTCTATCCGCTGGCGTGGTTAACGGACGGCGGTGAACTAATTTCTTTTTGACTATGGTAGGGATGGTAGGTGTGACAGTTGGTAAAGCACTGGTGGTCAGGTCAGTCGTGACAGTTGGTGTGGTCAGGTTTGGCTGTGACTTCGTTGGCCTAACTCTCGGTCTAATAGTGTATACTTCTTCGGGGTCTGTGGTGAGGGTCGGCTCGGTTGACGAGATGTATGCGGAGGATCGGGTGCTTAGCGTACTTGTAGTGCTAGAAGTCTCATCCTTGTTGCGGTTGTTATTGGCTAGCGGAGGACGGCGCCTCCTCACCTTATTCCGTTTCCGTTCTGACGTGTTGGGACGTTTGAAATGCTTGTTAGGAGGTAATGTGGGCAGAGCTTCAACTTGCGCGTCTCCGTTGTTGTCCTTGTTGTTAAATTGCGTGGTAGTCTCAGGTGTTGCGGAGTACTTCGCCGCTTCAGTCGGCTTTTTCGTTCGTCTTGACGTGCTGTAGTCTTCGTACGAAGGAGTTGATACCTTGTAGTAGTAGTCTTTAAGCTTGTGCTTGCCGATCGGTTCAACGAAGTCTTCTTCTAGGGGCCGCCTGCTTTGGGATTCGACTTTCGTGTCGTAGCTCAAAGAGTTGTCATGGCCATTCTCAGCCTCGGTTACGATGGCAAATTCTTCAGGGAGGTCTGGCACAGGCGTGGGCTCCGGCTTGCGGTATGAATCGGAATAGTCTTGCGGATTTGTTGATTCTTGTGTAGGTTTCTGATTGTTATATTCATACGTTTGAGAGGTCAATGTCCAGGGTGCTGTCGATGATTGAGAATGAAAATCAGCATCTGAAGATTCTGTTACTTCGTAAGTCTGTCGGTAGGGAGAGCTTTGTGCGTTTTGCGCATCTGTTCTTAAGGGCGTGTTGGCGTACTGTTTCGACGGTTGCTGGTTACCACCGGCAGCGACACTGTCGTGGATTTTATGTTTCTTTTTCTCGTTATTATAGTTAACGTTTTGTGGTTCATGGGCTATCTGACCTTGTTGGTTTTGGTGTGTGGGGAAATTGTAGTCGTAGAAGTTATTGGCTAGTGTAGTCGTGGCAGCGGTGGGGTTGTATGTGGTGACAGAGACTTTATTATAGTCGCTTTGGTGATTCTTTGCGAAGGGATCTTGAGGACTGGGCTTGAAGGTATCTTTGGCTCCGGCATTAGGATCAATCTTCGGTGGGACGTAAACCTTAGTTTGTGGTGTGGGTGTGATCTTTATATCGCTATATGTTGTCCCGAAGTGTAAATGATTAGCTGTTGTGGGTAATCTAGGTGTAGTTGAATCGAAGATTGTTGGAGTAGTTTTGAAGTTCGGAGAATAGCTGAATGAGTTGAATATGGTCGTCTTGCTCGACTGTGGAGGTAAATATGTAGTCTTCGTGGCTGGGAACTGGTACACGGGCTCTCGGCCTTTTACTGATTGTACGCCAAATGTTCCAAAAGTACCTGGAAAAAAGGTATTTAAATGAGATACAATAGTGTTACAGTCGTCTGTAAGAATTCACAATTTGATAAAAAAACTTACCTAATATGCTCGGTGGGAAGACAGCGTCCTGGAACGAATACTGTGCGTAGGGATTGACAACATTAGGCAAGCCGGTCAAGCCCTGCTGCTGCGCCGTTTTTACTTGCTGTGGACCTGTCTTTACTTGTTGGCTGACGGACTGCGGCGCCGTGTCGCTGTCTTGTAGCTTATACAACTCTTGCTTGTAGATCTCAGTACCACTTGTCTGCTGTTTCTTTGCTTCTGTAGGCCTCGCATAACTTTCAATCGGGTTCCCAAACAAGTCTAGAGGTTTAGCCGTCTGATACTGTCCAAACTGTATCGGCTGAACGTTTGTCAATTGCTGCATAAGGTGCTGGTGATTATTTTGCTTTACTTTATTGGGATACTTGGTGTATACTGGTCGGTTGTTGAATGGATTGTGGGGGTTTCTCACAAGGACGCTGTCCACTGGGTAGTTTTGGACAAACTTGTAGTTTGAAAAACTGTTGCTTTGGAAGGCGAAGGGATTATGGTAGGTGTTGATGGGCTGATTGATGACAGGGATGGCTGAAGCAGCTTGTACGGTCCTAAGTGTCGTCGGGCGGTACGACTGCGCTATAGAAGTTAATTTGTTCCCATCCTTCGTAGAGACAGGACGCGCGGACGATTGGTACTGATACTGGTCTATAACAGGAACTGGGATTTTGTAGTGCGGCGCGTGTAATGGAGCTGTGCCGTAGGACCCGTATACCATGCCGCTGGATCCGACCACTGGCCTCCAACCTCCTTTTGAACCAAGACCCTGAAAAAGAGAGTAAATAGATAAGGGATTTAAAGCATTTTATTTATAACATAATAATAATCTGTAATCATTATTTGCAATGGACCAATGGACTCTAAATAGTGATTTAGAGTGGAAACATTTATGTCATGGCATTACGCTTAAAATTATTTCACAAGACTATATGACTGACGAAAAGCATGCCATTGGTTACCGAGTTATGTGATATTGTGGAAGGATTCTTACCACTTGTGAGGCCATAGATCTTCGGTGGTTGCCACAGCTGGCTGATAGGAGCAGCGTCTGCAGTGTGACCGCAAACACCAATAGCCGTACATCTGGAACAAGAAAAATAATAGTACGCAAGCTTCATACACACAAATTTTCACAGACTCTTATATGAACCTAATGTGGGTGGAACTGGAAGTCTCTACTGGTCGAATTTCCGAGTTATACAAAATTGAGCCAAATATGGGTTGGAAGGATGATGGAATGTATTGAACAAAGTGTAAAATATCCGCATTTTATTTTATCATCATCATCATCATCATCATCAGCCTGTTTATAAAATACCTTTCCTCACATGCAGAAGAAAAGGGCATTAATAACCACGCTTAGTTAAAGCGAGTCGGTGATTTCAAACTTATAAAACAGGATTTCCTCACGATGTTGTCTTTCACCGTTTGTCGGTGGTGTCAAAATATCCTTAGAAAGTACTCATACTCGGAGAAAGTCACTTTTTAACCGACTTCAAAAAAGGAGGAGGTTCTCAATTCGACGAGTATTTTTTTTTTTTCAATAGCAACAATACGTCGTCTAGTAACCATTAAAATAATTTCTATTATCATAGATTTAAGAATCATATTTAATTAAGTATACTTTCTATTTCCTTGCAAGTATTGCTATAGACCAGACAGAGCATTACACTTGGGGACAAAAAAGACTGTCGTATCATTGACAATTGAGTAAAATTATCTCCTATTACACATTGTGGGAAAGTGAACCTAACATAATAATAACTTACATGGGAAATATACGTGTAATTTACTGTTTTTGTTGTGTGAAATTATTGAGGCCATAAGTCTATGCTTAACTGTTAGGCCTCGTTTACGGATTTGCGGCACGACTCGCGGCTCGCGTTGAGTTTTTTACCCGACTACGGCAAAGCAAAAGGAGGGTTATGATTTTGACAGGCTATGTATGTATGTTCATCTGTTCCCTCCTAACTTCTAAACTATGAGTAGTAGGCGTAGTCACACGTTACATTTACTTACCATACCCGCGCTTTGATAACGTGTGACTACGCCTTTCAGTATTCTAAAAATCTTGTTTTATACTTTTTCAGTGTCGGTTTTTGTCGTACCTAGTTGGGTTTTTCGTTCGTTGCAGCAGCAGCGGGCCCTGTCATCTCTATCAATCTACAATGCATGCTTAAACGCCTTGCAACGCGCCGACTCACCATGAGGGCTTTTTGTACCTACGTGCCCGTGCCATTCTGATAGCTCTAAATAATGAAAGTCTGATTGTTTTTTTTAATCTTTGCCCCGCATTAAGTGTTTCTCCTGTGTCGTGGGTGTGTTTACCAACATACAATTTGACATGCACAGACCCGGAACAATAGTCTCTGGATCACACAAGGAGTTGTTCCGTCGAATCGAACCCGCAACACGTTGCGCGGCAGCCAGTTGCCCAGCCACGTCATGATTGCTATTATAGGAAGATACGCTTCTTAAAGACTCGTACAGTTTTATGAACTTCTATGAGCTTTTGAGCATAAGTAGTTTCTGAAATTAAAAATTACTATGATTTTACATATCAACTTCAAGATCTCTAAAACAAACTTTTTAAAGCACACAAGGAATGCACTTATTAGTTCAATTATCCATTTAGTCACAAGAAAACGCTAAACCGTGAAACAATAACTGCGTTGTGTTTAATTATATGAGCAAAGATACTGAAAGCCCAGTCTTGTACCTCCGCTTCGGCTTCCCCAATCTTCAACTCCCTAACAACCCCTAAAACGCAAATTATTTCACCTTCGCCATAAAAAAGAAAAAAAAACATTCAGTACAAAAAATTCTGCAAATTGAAGCAGCCAAATATGACAAGTGCATAACGGATTACGTGTCTAATAGGACATTAAAGTAATTCAAAAAACATTCGCAATCCTTGTCCCATACGAACAATAATGCGAAACGTGTGCAGAATAAAGATATTAAAATTTCAACCGTGGAGACTAGAAAGGCTTAACATAATTATATGTGTAGTATCACTTTCCATTGCTCGCATGTGTACGTGTTTTCCATTCGGCCATTGGGGACCACGTACAGTTTTCCATCATAGTTTTTATTACGAACACTCGTCCGAAATGGTGGCGTAACATAACTTTATGGTGTGAACTCCTTTCCTTGTGCGTTTTATGGCTTGTAAATGGTTTTGCTACTCGTTTCGTTAGATATGCCTATGTATATGGTTTAACTGGTTTTTAAGCTTCTTGCAACATCGATATCTTGACTAAAATGGGCATATTGGCAGTTAAGATAACAGTTACTGTTAAGATTGTATACATATATTTTGTCATAATTTATTGTAAGTTAGTATTATTTAGTTCTGTTTTCGATTAGCTTAATGATGAAGCATTTAGCACATTTTTTTATGGTATAAGTCGGCAAACGAGCAAACGGATTACCTGATGGCCCATGGACACCCGCAACACCAAAGGAGTTACGAGTGCGTTGCCGCCCTTTTGGGGATAGGGGTTGCGGATATAAGGATCAGAAAGGGATAGGGGAAGGGACGGGATTGGGCCTCCGGTAACCTCACTCACACCGCGAAACACAATGCTGTGTTGTTTCACGCCGGTATTCTGTGAGGCCGTGGTATCACTTCGGTCGAGCCGACCCATTCGTGCCAAAGCTTGGCTCTCCCACACATTAGGTTTAACTATGACATTTTGTCCACATACAGCATATATACAAGGCTTCCAATACACGCCTTCCGAGGTTGTGGTGCAAGCGCACTAATATAACCGCATCCCCAGCCCGGAGCAGGAGCAGGTACTAAGTGGTTTTAGTCAGTAAGAATATGCTGTGTTATCCGCATAAAAGCTGAAAATTGCTCGCCTCGAAATTGCAAGTAAAACTTACCTACCTACCTATTCTTGTTACTCTTTTTTTTATATGATAGGCAACAAGAATTTACCTGACGGTAAGCAATCAGCACCGACCAAGGACACCCGGAACAACGGTGGAGTTACGAGTACGTTGCCGACCTTTTGGGGATTAAGGATTTTGAGATTTTAGGATTGGGGATGGGAAGGACTAGGCTTCCGGGCTACTAAAGAGCAGTATTAAAACTAACGCTCCTTACAAAATAAGTTAGGAGTAAGTTTCACTTCATCGTCTTTTGTATAATATAAAAAGTGAAATATTGGAACACCTTTGAGGATTGAACGTTTGGTCATGTTATGAAAGACAAACAAGTGACAGTGGTACCTGACTCTCATAATATTAGAACTCTTACGCACCAGTCATAACTTGCTTAAACAGACATATTTATGACAGCTAACACCATAAACAGCTCCATAATAAACACACGAATGTGCATACTAACATGATTTATACGTTTTAATATTTTTATTATCAACTTTATAGTTAGGCAGTGAAAGTATAAAATGGCACACGTCATCATATAAAAGATTATGCAATTCATGTGACACATTAACACTTAGAACGCCGTGTCGGACCATGGTGTCCAACGCTAGCGGATGGTAACTTCATTAGCCTTCAACAGTTTTTGTCAAATGCTGAAATGAAATACTTAATATTGTTGTTACTAAAAAGTAAGTTTTATTTTTATCATGATATGGTTGTATATGCTTTTGCTTTCATAATTATTAATGGAAGCAGTAGATTTTGGTCGTGTTTTGGCGAATTCGAATTTTGATACTCAAATTAAGCTTTAAGATGTTAACAAATCGCCGCTAAAAGTTAATTTTAATTTGGGTTTCGGCCATCATGGCCTTTCTTGCCTTCAGTAAAAAGCTGCCGAAAAGTTAAATACATCCACAATAGTCTAAACTTTTTAGATTATTAAATCGAATTTAGTTGTTGACTTGGAACGCAAAGTGGAACAATGGATTCTGAAGAGTTACACCCGGTTTCCGAAAGGCCAATCAATGTTAAAATCAATTTAATCTCTTGTCAAGTCATCTGATTGGTTGACTGAATTATCAACAACCAATCAGATGAATTGACAAGAGATTTAACAGGAGCTTAGTCAATTTTAGCGTTGACAAGCCTTTCAGAACCCGGGTGTTAAACATTCAAAATAGTAAGTATAAGTGCCTAAGTAAGATAATGTAAACGAAGTACAAAAGAAAATGTCTCTCTCACAACACAAAAGAAATTCCTAGAGCCATATAAAGAAACAAACGTAATGGTTATGTGTCTATTATCTAGAGTGGCTGCACTCCACAGCCTGTGACCGTCTTCCGTGTTATCATGAGGTACTAGGGGCTGAACAATGGGGACGACACCTGACAACGTAACTATAATGTTACCTGTAGGTAATGCAGTCTCGATATTATCTTTCTCTAGAGGAATTTATGACTAGTTTAGTTTTTTAGTAAGATTTTTATTAATAGGGTAAATCATCAAATTCTCTCATCCATTTCATCAGGGTTGAGGCGAGAAGGAGTGTCTGACTCTGACTGTCTAAAAATCAGATCTACTCCTGACTGAGGTACCTTATACACAAGCTGAACATCAGCTCCGTTGGGCCGCATCTGTAGTGGTCTGTGTTTGAGGAGCGCGTGTTCTCGGGTCTGGTTCTGTTCGGCCGGCAAGCTACCCTTGCTAGCCGTCCCCAGGCCCTCGCTTACTATAGCCGGAGATCGTTGCGCGATAGTGATGTGAACTAAGATTTAAAATTTTCTCCTACCTCATGGAACTTAACAAACCCATAAGTATTATGGCGGAGAAATCACCATAACCGCTACTAAGTCAATATTTGCTTACATATGATAAAATATCCGCTCTTTAGCCAATTGAACTTTAATTGACGAATGAAGCGTAATAATCGCTGAGGGATTCATGGAATGCGTCACTTAGCTGCGTTTGTGATTTGCATTAGATTAAGTACTTTATCCCGTCCTGACTGACCGACTGAGACGTATATGGGGGCACAGATGAACGCCCTTGCTGTTGTCAAGTATTAAACTAATCAGAATATCAACTGATCACTATGCGAGTGAACCCGCAGGGCCAAGCCAGTCTGTTGTAAAAAGCATAATTAATATTCGCATTAATTGGTTTGTTGTTGCTAGCTATCATAAATATGTTCCCTTTAGGCTAGCTATTAGGGCTACGTAAGAATTTCGAGTTCTAATATTATGAGAGTTAGGTAAAATATTCGATTTTATTCATCAAAGTAGTCTACATTCAAGATTTGATGGTACCAAGCCCTACACTATAGCCGTGAAGACCTAATTGGAAAAACGTCAAAAAAGCGATAGTGGTATCACTTTTTTGTCGTTTATATATGTTATAACTTAATTGTTACTCATACGTTGTACTTATTCTATTGGTGAATCCAATTAGGTCTTCTAATGGTTATTGTGCTGGGTTTGGTACTATCAAATCTTTGAATGTCGACTTCTTTGATGAATACCTAAAGCTAATATTTTACAGTAGGTACTTCAAAATTATATGTACTCGAGATATGACATTTGGGCATTACCCAGACTCACTAGTTAGTAACTGGGTCCAGAAATGGAAAGCATAACAAATTCTATCTCGTTCGTGAGATTAAACTCTTGAAATGCCATTTTGTAAGCTAATTCACAATTTACCGAAGAAAATTACGAATTTGGCACCTAATTTGGTCATGCCTCGGTGGCTGGGTGAAAACCTATGCTTATGTTTATTGTATTACATATTACTGAGCAATCGTATAATACTTTGTTACTATCTATAGTTTTTGTAGATGCTTGTGTACCCATTTTTTACTCATTGTATTTTCCAAGAAATGTAATACCTGTGTATGTATGAATTGAAAATGGAATTGGTCCCAAAACGCTCCCCTGCGGCAAACTAAAAAAAAACATAAAAGGGTGATGTAGTTATAACTGAGATGTACTTAATGACGTTAATAAATTAAGATACAAAAAAGACATGGTAACTTTTTCTAACGTGATTGAATGATCGGACCAATATAATCAAATAAAACAAATATAAATATGAATATGAATATTTGATTTGTTTATTTTATGCAATATAAATCAACAGAATAAAGTGAAATCGACTTCGATTTTAAACGAGCCACCAATAAGTCTATCGGACACAAAACGATTCTTTTTAATAAAATTAATAAACATGCGGACGTCGAAAGCTTATTTTTATCAAATTAATAAACGATTTACTGCGTACTTTATATTCATTATTGATACTTTTAATGATCACCTTTAATATTGTATCGTTAACTTTGATTAATTGGATACCGCGCCTACAAATATTAGCTAGTCCATTTAGCTTCAATAGAAATTTGATGAAGGAATGGTAATTTGGATAAATAGCGTGTTCATTTGCGTCGGCTAGACATATTCGTGTGTCAAATTATGCAATAGTTAGTTTGTTCCAACTTCAATCCAGTTGCCATAACTTAGGATTGCGTGAAGCCAGTTTTTCACAGAACGTCGAGTGGATGAACGGTGCTCCACGTGACCGTTCGTGCCTGCTCCGCGGACCGTGGCCCGTTTCACTACAGCTATTCGACTCGAGAAAACACTACCAACCACATTTTTATGCTTTTATCTCGCTCGAGAGAGCACACCGCATATTCAACCACCATCTAGTTCAACACAAATAAAAATACACTTTACCTACGTGAAAATAAAAGTAGTTTTCTTTCAGAGATTCGGGTTATTGCACTCGATGAACATATGCGTCACGTATCGGTCTATGTACACGAAATCGGTATGTAAATGCTATTAATGAAGTTAAATGCCATTGTATCTGTCGGCTAGATTATTGGCCTTGTGAAATTATATTGGAGTGCGATTTGCTGCAAATTATGAGCGCATCGCGAAACTGATTTGCGTGTTTGCTGTAAATGCATTTCTAACATCTAAATGATAAGTTTGTTTTAAAAATGCTGTACTCGCATATTATAAAGAATACTCTATTTTTTTACCGGTAACAACTGAAATGTATAGAAATAACGACCCGCAAAACTTCTTTGTGACTTGAAACTTGTAGAGCTTGCACTTCATTCACGTGATTAAGTCGTTATATTCAAATATTTTGTAGGGCTCGGAATTCTTCCTAAATAAGCTACCTTTACGAATACCATGGAACATGTGCTTCCAGTACCTATATTACCTAGGCTAGAGTTGCGAGTATTAGCGCAATAATGTACGAGCGACAGTAAGAGTCTGACACCTCCTTCAGCTCCATCCAGGGAGGGAGAAGATATATTGATATGATATTTGATGATATTTCCACAAATAAGTAGATATCTATGTATAATATAGCTTTCCGATCAATGTCCAAAGTGTTAATATTTGTTAATCTTTATTCAAGTAAGTATCGCTGCCATATCGTCACGTCCATTCCCAGCGACCACAATGTTTACCATCAATTATTTCCGGCAACACGAATTAGTTCCACTTTTGCACGACTTTTTATTCAGCCAGTGCGTAAAATTGCCTTATTTATTTAGTCGACTTGTTTTTTTTTATTATCTATACTTACCTTTTTCGAATAGTTCCGTTTAGTTTTTATTGTGAGAACATTATCCGGTTCATGGCATTTGCGGTTTTTGTTGATCTTTCGGATACATTCGTTAGTTTGAAACTTTTTATGGTGGGGCAAGAACACTTTGGCACTGTTCCATCTTCAAATTCAA